TATTGCTGGTAATAATTTCCCCCTCAATATAAAAAAAACTATTTTTACACTTTGAACCTGGGAACAACAGCAATTAAGAAGTGGTTCCACACTCCTAAAAACCTGATCAGAGGCTGTTGGATGTAGTTTCTCGTCCTACCTAGGACACTGCATATAATTGTTTGCTTGCTCAATATTATTTTTTTTGCCCCATTCTTGTTATTGTTTATTACAAACTTTGTCAATTCTGTTTGTTTGGCAGTTCTGAGGGAGGGACTCACAGAATGTTTACAAATGTACTGATAATAAAATTATTTCATACTTCCAGATATACCAAGTTCTAACCAACTAACATGTAAATTTATCTGCAGATTAACCAAAGTCTACATCTAAAATCAGGTTTTACTTACATGGATGGATGGTAGATCAGCATAGCTATTCAACTTCATATAACAGGTAACATGATCATCCTCATGTGTCTTCTGATGAGGGCTGGCAGTCTGGGAACCTGAAGACATACGCACCTCTGCCATGTATGAGCCAGGATCTTTAGGAAAAAACACAACCTGAGTAAAGAAAAATAAGATGTTATTATAGCCACTTCATAACAATAGTTTTCTCCTTTTATTGTTAGATTTAAATTAATCCATTATAATTCGGACTGTAACATCATGCTATTTCAGCAGCAAAATAACTAAATTATAAGAATAGTGTCACAGAAAGAAAAGTAGGCCATTATTAATATAAGTAGACATTGAAGTCAATACCCCAAGGTGGCATTCCATATCATGCTAAACACAATTGTCAGGCTATGTGTGTTGTGTTTTTGGTCAACTATTTATATATACATGTGAGTGATGCATTGTGGGTAGTTTATTGTATTATTCTTACAGTTGTTTCAGTGGTCGGAAACAGTTGTGTTTTGAATTATTCTAGAGGCTATTGAGTGGGAATAATTGTGCATTCCAAATACAGTCTATAGTGTTGTTAGTTAACTTTATTTACTTATCATAGACTATTTTATTGTTGGTTGTTATCAATACGTTTTCTCATGTCTATCTGTGCATCTAGGGTTTGTTAATTTGTTTATTATTTACTTAGTTTGTTTACTTATTTCGATTAATTTATTTTATTGTTTTTGTTATATATATATATATATATATATATATATATATATATATATATATATATATATATACGTGTGTGTGTGTGTGTGTGTGAGAGAGTGAGTGAGTGAGAGAGAGATATGTGCATCCTGAACAATAAAAAAATGTTAAAAATTAAAATTTCAGACACACTGGGTTGTATATTAATATTTTGGTTTTATTTTTAAAAATTAAGTTCCTCAACTAGTTTCAGTCAATATGGCTATCATCAAGAGAAAAAAAAGTTCCTGCTTGTTAGGTGTGAATGTCTCTGAAGAAGGTGAACTTTTGCCTGTAGTTTTTATGTGTGTGTGTGTGTGTGTGTGTGTGTGTGTGTGTGTGTATATATATATATATATATATATATATATATATATATATATATAATAAAAAATTAAAACAAAAATATGTTAACTGCTACATAAATGCAATCATGTTTCTACACTATGTTACTCCTCAAGTGGCCGTGCTTAACTGGAGAATAGATGGTCATTTTAGGGTTTAAAAGTATCAATACCTCTAATGGGGAGGGGTGGAGAAATAAAAGGGGCAAAATATTTAACATGCTCTTTGGACAGTGCGACCTCGATATAATGTCTGAACATTGGTACTAACCTACCATATATATATATATATATATATATATATATATATATATATATGAACTGGCAATTTGATTGAGTGAGTTAGTCGTTTACACCTTCATAAAGAATAAGGTTTTTTTTTTGTTTTTTTTAAAATTCTTTGCATGGTGGAATTTAGCAAAACAACAAATGAATAGTAAAGCAAGCACAATTCTTACCTCAAGTTTCTGAGTTTCCTTGGGAGCCAAGACTAGCTTTTGCTTCATACGAAATGGGTTATAGGTCCGAATATTGACCTCTCGACCATTCACAAATAGATGCAACATATCAAGATGACACTCAAGCCAGCAATCGACAAGGTTCCGAACAGTCACACATGCCTTTTCCGATATTCCTATCGTACAATCTGGAATGTTGACCACACGATCAATCTCAAATTTGGGTTTTCGCTTAAGAGCGGCAAAGTCAGCCGAATCCAAAAAGTTTTCGACATTAGCAGCAGGGTTCTCGTCCTCCAGAAGCGAGGATGTGAAGACATTAAAATTGACCTGGGTCTGCCCGAGTGGATCTTCCATCATGGTCTGCCACTGGCAGGTCACGTCGACTTCATTACCCTCTTGGTGCCGATTCATAAGAATGGCCTGTATCTTGCGAGCATCAGTGATGTTCATCCGGGCAGACAAAACTGCTGATAAATCAGCCAGAGACTTATTTTCAGTTCCGAGTTCTTTGCAATCTTTGCCATTTTGATGGTTTACATGTGACTGAGAAGCTGCAGAGAGCCGAGCGTTGTCTTGAGCTGATTTCAGAGAGACTCTCGGCATCTTCTGTAAACCGTGTGACACAACCTCTTCAGTTTTTGTTTGAGGACGAGTAACTGCTGTAGATTTTCTGTTCGGACCTTCTTTGATTACAGGCTTTGTTATATCAGCATCATCAAACCTTAAATGACAGTTAAACTTGGACTCATCAGTTATGTTTCTGTGTTTGGCCAACGCCCTTGGTACATACATGCTCTCACGGGGTGTACGGAATTTCATGCCATCTGGAGATGATGAGTGATTGTTTTTAGTAGCAACTGGGCTGTGATAGGACTGGTTTTGTGCACCCATCTGCACAGAACTTTCGAGCTCTTCCTCAACACCAGACTTCTGGTTCGTGAGCGTGTGTGTAGAGCAAGAAGCAGACATGATAGAACCATTGTTGACCATGTTGGCGGAAGAAGGCATGGAGATATTGCTGGGAACTCGAGACTGAAAATTATCCTGTGAGACAATCGATTGGCTGGCATCAGGTTGAAATGTTATTGGAGTCTGCATGTTGCTTTTTAAGGATGGTATATCTCTTTTGGTTCCTGACCGACTTCTCTGGCGTTTGTCCAGCTGTGCAACAAACTTACTGGCTATCTCATCATTAGACATTGACATGCTGGCCATATCCAAGATGTTAGAGATAAGGCTGTTGCTTATCAAGGATTGTGTTAGGACTGGAGGTGGTAAAGTTTCAGCTGAAATGAGAAAATAATTTGCAATTTACAGGACCTTCAAGACTCATTTGCGCAGTCAACCAGTGTTTGCTAGGATCAATCTTTTAAGCATACATACATTATTATTTTTTCTTTTTGTCCATAATATATGTTGAAACATGGGTAAAGGGAAGGATCTAACAACTGCTGTAAAACAGGAATTAATATACTGAATAAGGGAATATAGAGATATCAAAGGAGCTTTGCAGAGATTATCGAAGGACTGTTGAAAATATAAGTCAAGAAATCTAAGCAAAAGGTTTTAAGAAATATTGCTTCCTAGAGATGAACATAAATTAAAGTGATTTATAGCAAAACAACCACTTTTTGACCAGTGCTCAGATCTTTGAAAAGGCTGGAATTGAGGGAAGGACAAATGATGTAGAATACTTTGTGAATTGGGATCTGTAAAAAAATCCCCTAGGCAACCACCTCTCACTAAAGCAAGTATTTTAAAGCGTCAAAATTGGGCCAAGAAATGCATGGAAATTGACTTTTCTAAAGTAATTTTCATGGACGAATCTCGAGTAACATTTGATGGACCTGACTGATGGGTCAAGGGTCAAAGGGTGTATTTTATCCAAGTCAGATGTACCTGTGGCTAAAAGAAGGCAAGGAGGCAGTAGTATTATGATATGGGCTGGAATCGTTGACCAAACCATTATTGGACAATTCAAAGTTGATGAAGGAATTAAACTGAACAGTGTTCACTATTGCGATTTTATGACTAAGACTTTCTTTGCATGATACAAGTCCCAGTCTTGCAGTTTGAAAGTGAAGTGTGAATTTATACCTGACAATGCTCCTTCTCATGTATTTAAGCTTACCCATCAATCCTTTGAGCATAAAAAATTTACATCAGAAAAGATAATGGAATGGCCATCATCAAGTCCTGATTTGAATCTAATCGAAAATCTATAGTCAATTGCCAAGATGAAATTATATGGAGGTGGCAAACAATATAACAGCAAAACATGCCCATGTGAAACAATTAAAACTCCCATGTCGGAAATTGAACCAGCTGATGTAATGTTTCAGAAATGTACATTTTATTTTTGCAGGATTTTTGAAATCAAGAATTAAGGTTTATTTACATTTCTGTCAAAAAGTTAAAAATGGCTGTTTTTCTGAAGAATCAACTAAAAATCATTATAATTTCTATTTTAAATACACCACAAACTGGGAAAATCTTCAAAAAGGTTTTTTCATTTCTGAAAAATACATTTAAACCTTGTATGCCAAATTTTTGGGAGATACTTTGTACTTTTGCATTTATGGAAATAAGTCAATAATTGTAAAATGCTTCCCAATATTATATGTAGTTGCTTGCTAATTAACTAATTACTAGGCATTATTAACAACTTCCTGGCTAAAAAGTGTTCTTAGTAATTGTTATTTAATAGTAATTTTTGTCTCTACATATCCTTATAGTTGTGGAAAAGTTGCATGGTTTAAAATGGTATATGGATGAATTGACTCTGGTTTTAATATACTTCATTTTTTTATTTTTTTTAAACCATTACAACAAAAGCTAGAGATACAAGTCATCATTAGCCTGCAAACTTTAAAAATAACATTCTTATTTTCTTCAAAGACACATTTTCTATCCTAAGACACATTTTCTTTGAGCCAAATTTGAACCTCAAACTTGTTACTTTTGACAACAATTCAACAACAACAAAAAAAAAAAAAAAAAAACACACACACACACATACACTGATAAATTTTCCGCCATTCTACTAAAATGTATTTTATTGCTGTAAAAAAATTTATTATTTTCCTTTCAACTACAAATTCAATAAGTGTTTACTTGTCTCTGAAGGTTTTTATCTTTGCTTTTTCTCTTGAGTGAGGCAGTAGCGGGGTTTGCACAATAGGAATTTTATGAGCTCAGCAAACTAGCAGCAACCCGTACAAACTGCTAATTTTAGATTAGCTACAAAATGTAGTCACCTAATCGGTTGGGGGATGTAAATTCAGGTGATCAAATAAAGGTTAATACAAATTTTATGAACTGTTGAACTTGCTAGATACTTGGAATATTCAAGAGAGTGTTATTCCCTGTAAAGCTGCTGAAGAAAAGCTGAATGGCTTTATTAAAATTTTTCATCACAACATTTACAGTAATGATTTTCGTGACTATGTGGAAAATGCTCCGAAGAACTTTCATAATCCTGTAATTCCTCAAAGTGTACGAAAAGTGATAATTTACCAATACGATTGCAATCAGTTCTTTCAAGGTAGAAAAAGGTTTTTCAAGAATGAATATTATATACTTATATAAAAGCCACCACCTTACAGTGGAAAATGCAGCAAACTTGATGACAATCTTATTGGTCTTGTTTTAGATTCATGGGATGCCACTCCTTTTGTTAAAACATGGCTTACAGAGAAAAAAAACAAAAGGATGAAGATTATGATGACAATCAAGTGGCTATTTGGAAATTGTAGATTTATGGGATGCCACTCATTTTGTTAAAACATGGCTTAGAGAGAAAAAAAAAAAGGCTGATGATTATGATGACAATCAAGTGGCTATTTGGAAATTTTAGATTTATGGGATGCCACTCATTTTGTTAAAACATGGCTTAGAGAGAAAAAAATAAGGCTGAAGATTATGATGACAATCAAGTGGCTATTTGGAAATTTTTAAAAAGAGATTGTGAATAAAAGATTTTAAAGGATTTCTTTTAATCATTTTTCCTTTCAAAATGATAACAGTCAAAAATAAAAGTAATCTAAGTGCCAAAAAAAAAAAAAAAAAAAAAATTTGCTTTATTCCTAAATCTCTATCTATAAAAGGCAGGATGTGTGTGTGTGTGTGTGTAACGAATGCACGGTCACAATTTTCAACAAAATTTACATGCACATGCTCCAAGTTAACAGGAAGACCAAGATCGACTTTGCATTTCCCAACTCCCATCGATAGTGGAAATAATAGATTTTTTCATGCTTCTATATAGTTTTCATGTAGTTTATATATATTTTCTATACTGGTCAGAGTGAGAGCCTATAGCTGACTGACATGAATGTTAACTAGCATGCAAAAAAAAAAAATCGATAGCTGTATTCAGAGCAAGTGGGAAAAATTTAAATCTGCATGGCACTTTATCCAATTGGCTCATTCGGCTTGCTTAAACTCAACGTTGATTCTGATTCTGCAGAAGTGGGTTGGGTGTGAAAAACATTTGTTGTTAATATTCTTTTTCATTCGGTTTTTCTAGTTACGAGTCCTTTTTAAAGCTGATCGTTTTGTGTTCATTTTGTTTAGTTCTTTTTTTTCATAACAGATTTAATATTTAGTATAGTGCTTAGAAAAAATGCATCTGTCTAGTGTGAGATAGGCAAGAATAAGGCATGTAGCAACATCAGCACGGCAAAGGGCACTCCTTTAAAGGCAAGGAAGGACAAAAATATTTTAAGTCAAGTGATAGCGATTGCTGTATATTCAAAACTAAAATAATTTTTTGAATCAAGCTATCTATATAGTAAAGTATAAACAATGGAAAAATGAAGGAATCTATTGCTATTGAGACCTGTTGTTGAGAGAACCCATTCTTAAAATTTTTGTATCCCAGGGTAACAGCTAGAAAACATGCCTTCATATTCTTTCTCCCTTTCTTTCCCATGACCTAGACAAGAAAATACATAAGTAATTATGAGGTCATGAGTTCATTCTAATCAAGGAAACAAACTACTGTTCAACAATAATTGCCAAATATTACTGATGACTAAAAAAACATTTCTTAAAGGACAAAAAAAAAAAAAAAAAAAAAAAAAAATCCAGATTTATGGGATTTGCCATTTTGACTTTCATGAATTGAGAAAAAGCATGTGTCGGCAGCCCAATCAAGAAAATTTGAGGATTTTTCAAGAAGCTTTTAAGCTATTGCTGCTTTTTTTTTTCAAGCCCTGGAAAAAGCCCTGTACAAACCCTTTAATAAATGTCAAGAAGACAAAGACCACCATTTTGATCATCTCTCTTGATTGTTGTGTCAAAGATACCATGTATTACTTTTAAGAGGTCTGAATAAATTTGGTATTACAATATCTATACAAGTTTTTCCTTTCCTGAAATGTGTATATATGTTTTTGGTGGACTGTGTGTGTGTGAGTACACACAAATTTCATGTCTAATGTAACACCTGAATTTTAACCCCTCCAGAAAAAAAAAATACCTTTGTATAGTACAACTAGTCACTGAGAATGCAGGATTTTTAAACTCTTAAAAAAATTTACCTGTGTATATAATGTGTAATGTAACCCCCCCCCCCCCACAATCTTTTGCATAAAAACTCATACTTGAGTTACACACACAACAAACCTATGTAGATGTTTAATTTGCAGTTTGGCAGTATAGGTAATCAAATAGCATTAAACTAGGGAATTTGCATGAACAAAGCTTCATCTCTTACCTGGTTGGTCATCTTCCCCATCATTATTGACAGGTTTTATATCTTCAGGGCCATCATCATCATCATCTTCCTCCTCCTCCAATTCTTCTAGAATTGGTAATTCAGCCCCAGCATGACTCTTGTTAAACAGTGACTGCAAAAAAAAAAAAAAAAAAAAAAAAAAAATAAGGTAAGAATAAAACCTGAATAATGTTCCCTTTGCTCCACATTTTGACAAAGACACAACTTTTGTTGTAAATTGTATCATCACTTTCTGAATAAATACAAAGGGACGCTGAATAGAGTCGGTCGATTTGGGGGGGGGGGGTCCGTAACATTGCCCTCATTTTGAAAGTTCGGCTTTCACAGGATAAATAATAACGCAATTTTTTTTTGCCCCCACATTGTTACTGTTTGAGGTAATGAGCTTAAAGTTTAACTTTAATTCCAGTTATCAGTAAAAGCCTTATAGCACAGCTGTTATAAAATTTATAATTTATTTAAGTTTTACAAATTGTATATGGACAAGATGTATGGCACAAGGACATTATTACTAAATCATTGTGCCATCAAATAACACCATTTACTTCAAAAGGGAAATTATACTGAACAATTTAGCTACATTATGATGTAATATGTTATACAGTGCAATAGTTTTAGTGCCATTTTCAATAAACAATGCAAATTTAAAACATTGACTTATAATTTGTACCCAGTAGCATTATGGTGTTATATACACTTATTTATATTTTGTTTTTATTGTGATCTAACAAATCTTATTTATTGAGTAGTCTTTTTTCGTAATCTTTTACAATTGTTTTTACAGTTTTTACTTATCGAATACAATAAAAGTTGCATATTTTGCTTGTGGTGATTCATAATTAAATATTCTGGTTTGAATAGATTTTCCATTCAATGTTTATTTGTATTTATTCTTGAAATAGTAAAAAATCAAGTCTCTTCATAAGTAAAAACCTCTGGAAATTAGGTATTCCTGTACATGCTTTTTAGACAAATTTATAACTAAATGCTCAAAAATTGGTAAAAAGCTGTGAACCTAAGTTTTGGTGCCAGTACTTATATCAAACCCCAGCTTTCACACTGAGTGCAATGTTGATTTTCTTAAAAAAAAAAAAAAAAAAAAAAAAAAAAAAAATCAAAAATTCAATTTGCTCTAATGTTCAATACCTGGCCAAGGAATTCTGAGGTTTGGCCATTTTGATTAGATTTTAAAGCTGGTTATTTGCTCGTTTATATTAACAATACCACCAATCCCCCTACAACATTACTATCACATCACATCCACTATTATCATATAAACCCGCTATAATTATTAACGTAAACTACCCCCCAGCATATTTAATACCACCACAAAAATAACCAATAAGGATTACAAACTGCAATTTCTACCAGTTACATATACAGTCATCAAAAACAAGCAAATAACCAGCTTTAAAATAATGGCAAATAAACCTTAAAAAATTAAAAATAATAGCAATTTTTACCTATCTTAATGTTACACAGATCCCACCACACATATATACGTGCATGCGAAGAAATATTATTCAGCGAAAAAATAGAAAACTGCTCTGATTGTTGACATCGAGACATTCACGAGAAATTTTTGCTACATTCCTGATCTTTGAATTTCAACGTACAAATGCGTATGTATATAGACAACAGCACACATATACATACATATGTCAAATCCCATACTGCCCACATGTTTATGCCTGTATAAGCCCCGGGGGACAAGTGAGTGTGTATGTGTGTCTGCGTACCTCAACGGGTGTATGGACATGCATCTATGTTTGCGTTAGCATGAGTGACGTCACGACGACGATCCCTGCCCACTTCCATAATAACACTGATACACGCAATCTACATAAATCTAAATTTTTTTAAAATTGATCAGTTTGTCTGACGATCTCAAAAGTGTGAAACCCAGGGTCACAACCTCACATCAATCCAATCAAATATATATATATATATATATATATATATATATATATATATATATATATATATATATATATATATATTATATATATATAAGTAACACACACAACTTGAATATTTGAGAAATCTTTTTTTAAAAAATATGTGGTCTCTGGCAAGACTTAAACCTGCACCCCGCCCCAAGAAAAGCATTTAGATCTGATGTGCTTATACAGACTCAGCCACAAAGGACTTCTTTTAGGACTTTTGCTCATCAAGCAAGGCTGAATAGTGCCTTTATGCAAAATCTTTCTAGCCATAGATTCTAAAAAAAAATTCCATATCTGCTTGGTTTCATATCCAAACATAAAAAGTAGTAATGAATTGTTTTTTGTTTTTTTTTCATTAATCTGACAGATTTTATTTCTTTAAAAGTTATTTCTAGTGAAGATTATATATCTATCAACTAACATTTAGTAAAGTTATTACATTTCATATGCAAATACTTTCCACACAAGCTGCACAAATACGGACATCAGTTTATTTCGGCAAAGATCTTTTTAATCCAATCTTGCTTTTCAGAACTTTACCAACCAGCACTTTTATTATGATGAGTGAAGGATATAGATTACCTTTTGGGAGACATTTATGCAAATTTATAGACTGGTTATTTTCTGAAGCGTTGGGGAGTCTATAATATGATAGACACTAAATTTCATGCAGTGGGTAGGGAGGGTGACACCATGATAAACCATATAAATTTGTTGGACAGATGCCAAAAGTGAATTGGGTACCTGATTTGCATTTACAGATTCAGATCTAGAGTACATATATGTTCCAAGGGACATTCTCTCATGGCTGCTTGGAGTTGTGAAACTGATATGACTCTTGAAACTCCAGTCTTGAACATCTTCAGCTAATGGAACTTGAAGGACATCATCCTGCAGACAGTTAAAACAAAATGTGCAAAAACTTTTTACATAGCAGTGCAAATATGGATTAAAATGGTTTCAATCCCGAAAGATTTACTCAATACAGGATATGGAAGAACAGTGGACAGTTAGATATCTGAAAGAATCAGTATATAGGCTAGGCTATGAGGACCTGCTTTGTAGGCCTAGTGGAGAAATAAACACATTAGGGGAGCCACTAATAAAGAAAGGGAAATGACAGCAAGGTTTCAACAGCAGCAGCTGTCAAACATAGCTATCAAAAGCAGCAATACTAATCAGCAGGCAGGTCATGCTTAACCTTTACCACGTCATTTCTTTCTAGAATTGTTCCTCCCCTGCCACTGCATTTTTTTGAGGGTGCAAAAACATGAACACCTACTGTTTTAAAATTGTTATAACTTTCTTTGCATTATGCGTATAAATTTTAATTTTTACACACTAATAAAAGAATGAATGAGTAATATTTTGATGTAATGCAGTATGTAATGCGCTATGTAATGCGCTATGTAATGCGCTATGTAATGCACTATGTTTTGCATGCATGCTTTGACATTGAGCACAAAAAAATTCAATCACAAAATAAAAACAAATACATTAAAAAAAAATGTACATAAATAATTCAATGTACTTTACCTTTTATTACTCCTTGTGGAGTTCTGGGGGTGTAATAAGAAGCAAAAAAAAAAAAAAAAAAAAAAAAAAAAAAACATGCTAAAAAGGCTTTCATTTTGTCAAAAAAGTGACATGTTTACAAGAAGACACTTGTATTTGTTCTTTCTTTCACCTGACTCATAATTATGTTTTCTTGATGAATAAAGTTATTATTTTGTCGTTTATAAACACAAAAAATAATTCACCTTCAGAAAGGCTAACAGGTATATCGATAGTTGCCAGTAGCTACCATAAAATTAGTCAGCCATGGATGATAGTAGCCACTAGTGGTCATCATCACTTTCCTCCCTGTTACTAGCATGATTATCTCAACCACTTCACCACCAATATCCATTTGAATCAGTGGAGTCCTAATCAAAGAAAAACTCCTGAATGACGGCTTTGTTGGATACTGTTGCAGCCATTTTTGCTTACAAAAAAATTGTGAAAAAATTAACGTGGGTTTAATCGGTATTACACCTCATGTAAAGTCTAGATGAATTCAAAACAGCAATGGAAAACAGAAGTTTAATCTTGTTCCAAAGCAGTAGTAGGCGATTTCCAGTTTAAAATACCAGAAATAACAGTTGACAAATCTTTATTAATAGCAACCGTCTCGAACTGACAGAATACACCAAGAATAGCAAAGAGAGAATTCTATGGTGACAATTTTTGCCTGCAGCATGGTAAATGTTAAGGCTCCAAGTTCCTGCACGACAATAGCCTAGTGAATTAATGAGTTGGTTTTTGAGTTTGGGGACATAGTAATTGTGAGTTCAATCCCTGTATCAAGCAGAGAGTACTTGGGTAGAGTGGAAATGGGTGAGCAATACCACCAAGAAAAAAAAAAAAAAAAAAAAAAAAAAAAAAATGAACTAGATGAGATATCCCTAGACATGGAACAAGAACAGTCTAACCCCGTAGATTAAATGAAGGGGTTCATTTCAGAATTCCCTCTAGGTTACACAGATCAAGATACATCTGATGATGGCTGGAGGAGACAGCAGCCGAAATATTGGGATAACAAGAATAAAGATGAGGAGAATAGTCTTCATGTAATTGGTGTAAATAGCAATAAAGGGGGTTCCAGAAAAAAATTGATATAATTTCATAATCTACTGACTTGACTAATTTTCATTCAAATATTAAATTTCAACTTAAAATTCAATGTTTGGCTCATTTTTTTTTTTTTTCAGGTATAGAAATGCTATGCAGCATACATTTGGGAGAGAATTTGCTAAAAATGCATTAACTGCAATGCAAATTTGACATGGCACAAAAGTGTATATATATATATATATATATATATATATATATATATATATATATATATATTAATTGATCTAAAATGTTTTTTTTTCGCTACACAGTTCTAACCATGTTTCAAAAATGGAAGCTAAAAGTTCCGAATTTAATTTTGCAATTAAATTAAATATTGCAATTATTGTAATAAGGAATGCCAGACAAAAGCAATAATAACAACAAAAGTTGCAATATGAGCTCTGGTAAAAAAAAAATGCAATGATAACAGCAAAAATTGCAATATGAGCACTGGTCGCTGAAGAGATTAGGTTTATAATACCCAGAAATTCATACACAGATGTCCTCAAGGACACATAGCACAGTGGATAAAGTCGTTGGTTAGATCCAGTGACAGGACCCAAAGAGTGTGAGTTCAATAGTCCGAATAATGTAAATAATGTACATTAAGTGGAGAACTTTCAGAGGGAAATTAACAGGAGATAACTGATAACTGACATCCATTAAACATGGCACATGGAACTGGAAGTCTACCCAGTAAAGGGTTCAGTTCGACATTCCAACCACAACAGAAGCGCACAATGGCCAAAATGTTGTAATAAATATGGCGACAAATAATGTAAATAATGTACATGTTGTAATAAATATATATGGCAACAAAGATGAGGACAATAGTCCAAATAATGTAAATAATGTACATAATACCTCATCTCAGAAATATAGACAGATACTGAAGGATCGGTACGGACCCGATATATAATTCAGCCTTTTATCATTATCAAATTAATTCTCTAGATATATATTGTGTCATGTATTGTACTAGCATATTGTATTGTATCATCTATTGTATTAGTAGTAGCTTTGTTGGGGACCGAGATATGTTTGTATGATACTGAATGTAAATTTATAGAAGAAGATGGCAACATTTTTTTTTTGTAATGAAAGAGCATTTTTATTTTTGTGTTGCCCCATGCTCTGAATTGGGTGACAAAACAAAAATCCTCTTGATGAGACATTTTCATATTTACACTATTTACATTGTTTGGACTGTTGACCTCATCTTTGTTGCCATATTCACGACATTTCTCCATTGCTCCAGCTTTCTTGGAATGTAAATAGTGTAAATAGTTTAGTCAGGAACAAAACATAAGTTCATAGTCATGGAATATAATATAAAGTTTCGAACCAAACACTTTATTTAGTCCACAGGGGTAGATTGTTCTATTTCTATAGACTAATTCAACGCAAGTCACCTGAAGAATAAGGCCAGAGCATAAAACTGCCAAAATGTCAAGAATATGACAATGAAGAGGAGGACAACAGTTTAAATGTAAATTGTTACAATACCTCATCTCAGAAAGACATTCTCACATGTAATTAAAAAAGATATACAAAAAACGTAAACACGAAAAGATAAAGAAATAAAAAAAAAACAAAAAAAGAAAAAAAAAAACACACAACCCCCCACACAAAAATAAAAAATAAACAACGCAAAAAAATTAAAAGTTAATCAAAACTATTTTTCTCCCTGACAAGTGAAGATCATTTGTCCTAACAAATCCAATGTGATTACATAAGAAACACATGCTTACAAAATCTGGATTGGCATTTTCTCCAAAGAACTCAGCTTCATCTGCATCTAATTTGGCAGCTGCCGATTCTGTAAAAGAAAACATTATCATTGATTATAAAGTCAAAAGATACATTGGTGTTTATTCCTTTCAAAGTAGTCAGTGCAGATGAATTCTTTCATAGAAATTAAAACATTTTTCAAGTGAGTTCTTGCAGTTAATTTATTAGACAAAGCTATCTTTGGCAGAGCATTACAGGAAACATTACCTTGTAAATGAGGCACAAAACATTACGAGGAACCTTTCTTTAGAAAGGCATTATAAAGGATTCATTTTATGCTCACCTGAACATTAAAAATTCTAACATTGTTTTTTTTTATCCTTAAATAAATTATAAAAATTTATGCTTAATAAGTTAGATTTGAGACAAGATTAATGGATGTTGTGTCTTTGACACTCTAGGGAAAGGGGAAAAGATGGCATTTAAAAAAAAAAAAAAAATTACTATTTAGTTTTTACATCCATCTTCTTTTATTTTGTTAAACTATTGCACTACAATATTTCCTCAACTAAATGACTTTAATGAGAGTTGGAATAATATTAAGACTATTCCAAACTATAAATTTCCAAAATATAAAAGAAAAATTAAAATAAAATTACAGGTTTTTCTGTTTTAAATCCCCTATTAATTATAGGCTTTGACCTATGACCCATTAATGCTTGAAGCCCCAAAAATGAATCAGTGATTAGTAACGCACTAAAAAAAAAAAAAAAAAAAAAAAAAAAACTGCCTCTTCAATTTCAAGCCTCTCTTAATTTTTAAGTGACATTTTCATGGAATATTTTTGGTTGCATCAGACAACCCACATTTATACAGACAATCTTGAACAGATTAAACATGATTTGAAGCAGAAGTTTTATAGAATTTAATGTCTTGCAACTTGTAATTTATGTTGAGAGAGAGAGAGAGAGATATTTATATTTGATCAGTACCCATAAAAATAATGCACTTAAAGTGGAACTATTTAGAAATTGTAATACTGACAACATCATTTGACTTCATGGCCAAGATATCTTGTTTGTAGATCGAAGTCTTAAGCATTTTTTTCTTTTCAGATTTCTCCTTGAACTCTTGAAAAGCCATCTTAACCTTTATCACTGTGTATGTGACTTCATTTCCTGTCACTGAAGGTGACAGATCTCTGAACAATAGTGGGTTTGAATTTCATAGTTGTGTTGTCATATCCTGCTATGGCAACAGAAAAAAAACTTTAAGTGAAATTAACAATAATGATACTGCAATTGAGAGACCTTGACAAAGAATACAGTGGAAAGGGAATTAATATTATTAATGCAGAGTGCTAAATGTTAATACAGAAAGGAGATTTTGTCTTTCTAACCAGTTTAATATAAAGATATGGCGGTTTGTCACTACACTTAAAATATAAAACACCAATCTTTTCTTGTCAACAAGTCTCCTCATCTTTCTGCTGTTTCATGTTTCAGCTGGTTGTTTCATTCACTTTCTTCAAGTAATGAATTTGGCTTTTTGGGAAAAGCCACCCCCCCGCTATTTTTTTTTTACTAATAGTTCACTCAATACAAGGCCCAAGGTTCACTCAAGGTAGAGAGGGTTACTGAGCGAGACTGTAAGGGAGAGAGAGGGAAGATGGAAGGAAGAGAGAATTATGAGGACGAGTAGGATAGATAATTGTTGACACTGGATTTAAGGAGACCAAGATTGTAGTAGTCAGGAAAGCATTCTCTCAGGAGCTTGTTTCACAAAAGAACAGTTCTGGGGGAAGAAAGTGAGTGGAACTTGCTTTGCTTTTTATCAAAAAGGAACATGAAAGGAATGGAGATGGTTTGGCCCCACAAACATGACAGGATGGCTTGAAGAGTTGAGAATAATTCATCACCCACAAGGACGTGTAAGTGCTTTTGAACTGTTAAGGTGAAACAGTGAGGATTGAACAGCACCGGCCCAGATATGGTAGCAATACTCTATTCTAGTTCTGATCCAAGTTTAACCCCAGTAGATGTTTGAGGCAAGGAGCCTCTTTAAGGGTATGACCCCACATCAGGACTAGTGCAGGTTTAGGGTCTGATTGGTGGTGATGAAATCCTATATTTGCTCAACTACAGAACATACATAGACATGCAAGTTTTTTCACACACACACACACACACACACACACACACAAAAAAAGAAAAAAAAGAGCCCTGTCAAAACTGACAATGGGTATAACAGGTGTTTACAATTACAACTACCTGAGTAGAGAAGGTATTTTATTTTTCTCCACCAACCATTATGGTATGCCAATAAGACATCTATCTACATAACTGGTGTTGAAACTGAGCATAGGGAGCAATGGATTCATGCCTCCACAAGAATTTGAACTGTTTTCTCTCTTGACAATCTTTGAAGTGATTTATTATATATTCTGGTAGGCAGGAGACATTTAATTAAGGAAGAAAGTACAGATACTACACAACATTCAACAGTTTGGTATTACAACTAGGAGGAAAAAAAAAAAAAAAAAAAAAAGAAAAAAAATAGATAAAAGGAAAACTAATTTTAAACCCGTGCCACCTTGCGGCTATACCCAATCATGATAAAGGCTTTAGGAATAAACCCTAAGAAGAAATCCAGAGCTGGAGTCTCTAAGAGTCTACAGAAATTCAAATTCCAAGTTGGTGTCTGGCGTGGGATAATTCACTTTGAAAAGAAGTCTTTAGCCTTGGATGGCAGTCTTTCTATAGATGGTGTCATAAAAACACTCAGATGTAGGGTTGGCATCAAAAATTTTGTATCAGCTATCAAAAGAATTATAGTTTCGACCAACCATAGGGAGATCAAAGGATGACAAGGAGGAGGCAAAGCTATCTATTAATGCTCAATACTGATATTAAATCAGTAACATACATACCAAATGGAATAAACTCGCCACTAAGGCTATCGTTTTGAATATTGGAAATGTCGGCATCAAATTCGGTTCGATACGCAAGATCGTTGTCAAAAGGATCATCCTCGTATAATTTAGTGGATTCTACTGGTTTGTCTTCAGCAAAAGGTTCACCTAGGAGAAGAGAAAGATTTGAAAGCTTATCAAAGGCAAGCAATTGACCAAAGTCACCTTTCATGCAACAGACAGATACTAAAATAAACATCAGAATGGTTTAAAGTAAAAGTTTATTATTCTTTTTGTAAAGTTTATGGCTTGACTCCAATACAGAAAATCTGTCCCATCAAAGCAGCATTCAGAAGCAAGGAAGACATGGTTGTTCCATGACTTTAGCTGCCCAGCTTTTCTCAACAGTTTAACCTTTATCCTCCCGCCCATTTCTAAGAAAAATTTGATTTCAATTTACAATACAATAAAAAAAAAAAAAAAAAAAAACAAGAGGAAAACAATTCTACAATGAATTTCATTCCTTTAGAAACATCAAGGCAAATTTAGAGGTTTATCAAACAACTAATATTATCTATATATATATATGACAAAAATAAAATCAAAGTAAAATGAATTAAAAAAAAAAAAAAAAAAAAAATACAAATGCATAACAAGGAAACATAACACAAATAACCAATAATCAATAATGAATAAAAACGTTCAACAACACTATAAAATAACCACAAAACTGCATCCAGATCCACAATTATTTCCACTCAATAGCCCCTACAATAACTTGAAACATAGTTGTTAACAGCCACCCAAATAACTGTTAGAATAATACAATAGGTCCACCCATAATGCAACACTAACCAGCATAGTCAAGCCAAAACACAACACACATAGCCTAATGATCATGTTTAAGCATGAAAGAGACTGTAGCCGTTTGGTGCAGTCCTGTTGCCAGAATTTTTTTTTAACCCAGTCTGTATAGGCATGTAAGTAAATGTAATGGATCTGACTTAATTACGGATTCCTCAATCCGAGCCGCTATCCATTACTACACTGTGCCTCCTCTTTTTTCTTGTACAGTGGGTTGAACCGTTTTATGTTTCTTTTCTTTTAGTGGATTCCTGACAACAAAAAATGCTATCTTTTAGGGCAGTTTCATAATCTTTTTTGGTTTCATTGAAAATGGCTTCATTGGAAGAATTGACGGATAATCTGCAGTTGATTGTGGTCTCTGCTTGATTATTGTTCATGAGTGGTTGGAAGGTGCAGGTATGTAAAGTGGTTTGTTGTTGGGTTTTCTATATATTACATGTACTTTTTCTTTGAAAGAGTGTAACATCTAGGAAATCTACTTTTTTAGGTTCATTTTTATGTCTATGTTGAATCCCATATTTTAAAAAATTTTATGATTATTGGGATTGGTTAGAATAAATTCTTTTTTTAATATAACCCCAATTTTAAAGCTCCGAATAGCTATTATAACATGACTTCGTTGTCAAGTTTTTTGAATTTTCCTATACTTGTGTTTTGATTGGTCATTCTAGCTTTTGTAACAACGTTTTCCCCTTGCGAAGGATTGTTAATTAATTTGAAACTTTTAAAACCATTTATTTTACATTCAACGTCATCACTTGATAAGACACCGCAGGTGTTGAAACAAATGGCTATTTTTGTAGTGATTTTATAACATATTTATGTTATAATTTTTAAATAAATAATTATATCTGCTCTACTCTGTATTGAGCACTCTTTTAAGAATAGTAATTTTTGGTTATTGGAATTTATTCTGTATACACCAATCATATCAAGACAAGAAGTGCCAGGACATTAAAAGAAACAGACATATTTTCCACCCATGCTTCTAATCAAATAACTGTTTATACATAAGTAATAAATTCTATAAAGTTTTTAAAACATAACAGAGGTCACTCAGTGTTCTATTCTAATAGTCTCTCTTCTCTCGCACTTCTTGCTTGTGGAATTCTGTTCCTGTTTCTTTCTTTGCTGTCAACTATGATCTTCAAACATTTTAATGAAATGCCAATCGGCCTCTTCAAAATCCTTGAATCCTGCTCTTTTGTCACCCCAGTAAAGTTTTTGTGTTACTTTCAAGCTCAGTGGCTTTATCACCAGGTTTGAGAACTGCATCTCAAGTATGGTGATAAAGCCACTAAGATTGGAGAAAAAAAAAAAAAATTCAAAAAACCAGTAAATGAAAAGAAATGGAAAATCTAAGTTGTTTTATTACTAAAAATTTTTTCTTTTGAGAATGTCTGGGAAAGTGAAGGAGAAATAAAAGAAATATTTAGGACTAACAATAAAAAGAGGAAGAAGAGGTGGCGGTAAAAAAAAAAAAAAAAAAAAAAAAAAAAGATCCCTAAGCATGGACAGTTCAAAAGTGTAAAGTGAACAATCTACTGACATAGATTAATAAAGGGCTCTGTTTGATTTTCCCTAAAAAGGTGACCAGGATTGACAGCCACCTGAAGAGGGCCAGAGGGCACAGTGGCAGTTGAAACATTGTAATAAAAATAAAAATTAAATAAGGTAAACAATAACTCCTAATTTTAGAAATTTAGGATCATATCACTTTTTGAAAGAACTATCAATATATTGTCAGTATTTTTTCAAATTTATCAGAGAAATATTTTTTACTTTCTAAGATTGGAAAAATTATTGCTTTTTCTGTGGTGCTGCTGTTGTACCTGGCTTGGAACTATTACAATAACCTTCATTTTCCAACTGTGACAAAGTGTTTACACTGCCTTGTGGGTGATTAATTATTTTCAACACTATAGCTTCTTTCTTCACACATGAAATGTCGCAAACCTATTGCTGCTCTATCGTTATTTCCATGGCTAATGTTCAGACGAGCTCCATTCTTTAGTGCTACCAACCCAGACATTTACAGCCAAGACCAGTCTTGCTACATCTACAGGGGTTGAATCATCTTCATTCTCTACATATTCCATTTGTAAGAAGGAAGTTGTACTCAGACAGCTTCTTCCTAAGAGCCACTTTGTGGAAGTGACACAAGAGAGAGAGAGAGAGAGAGAAGATGCTTCACTGATCACTACAATCTAGAGTGAACTGGTATCTATCGTCATAATCTGTCCTTACTTTCTCTTACGTCCATACATGAACCTCGTTCAGTAACACTGTTTGGAGTGGCTCTTGGGCCTAGTATTGAATGACCACTTCAAGAATGAAAGGGAAAATGCATTTTCTGAGGTCCGTGCATCTTTTTATACAAATGAATAAGAAACTAAAAATAAACAATTGTTTAACAATTTTCTTTAAAAAAAGAAAAAGGAAAAATGTGTAGGGGAGGGCAGGCTTCAAAATAATAAAATTATACTCACAAGAAAAGGTTTGGCTCTTCCCCCAACCAATTCCATATTCACTGGTTTGACTCAATTCTTCTGTCCAAGGCTATAACAGAAACCAACAATCTTTTTTTTTGGTTCATTCACAACAAGTCTTAGAGTGGACACACACACACACACAGATATATATATATATATATATATATATATATATATATATATATATATATATAAATATATAGTATATATATGCAAGACAAATTAGCAGTAAAGTAACAATAATATGATAAAATTTCAAAAACTGAGAATTGGGGTTGACACATGAGCAAATTTGGATTAATGAACATAGCCCCCTTATTCAGACTATTGTCCTCATCTTTGTCGCCATATTTACCCTGGGTACATGGCAGCAGCCCCCCAAAACTGGGATAGGCGGGTACAAGAGGAGGAGGACAACAACACTCAGAAAACAGTCTGCCTGCCTTATGTGAAGGGGTTATCAGAGAAAATACAAAGGATCTGCGGTCCATATAACATCAGGACAACCTTCAAAAGCTTGACGACACTTTGCAGATACCCCATAGAGGAGAACATGACTAAAGACTGTGTGTATGCTATCCCGTGCAGCTGTGGAAAGAAATATAAAGGAGAAGTCTGCCCCCTCAAGGTAAGGCTTCAAGAACACCAGAAAGCTGTAACATGAGGGGAAGTGGAAAAATCAGGTGTGGCTGACCACATATGGAGAGAGAAGGGAGATCACTGCCCTCTGTGGGATCATGTTGAAATCATAACAAGGAACACCATTGGAAAATTCGTAAAAATTTAAGGAATCATCACATATGCTAGGCCACAAAAATCTCCTGAGCTGATCAAGTATAGAAATAAATACAATATGGGAACCAGTAATAAAGAGTGCCAGAAAAAAGCAATGATAACAACAAAGTTGCAATATGAGCTCTGGTAAAAACATGCAATGATAACAGCAAAATTGCAATATGAGCACAGGTAAAAATGGTTGCTGAAGACATTAGGTTTATAATACCCAGAAATTCATACCCTGATGTCCTCAACAGTGGATAAAGGCGTTGGTTAGATCCAGTGACAGGACCCAAAAGTGTGAGTTCAATACCCGGTTAAGGCAGTGGAGAACTTTCAGAGGGAAATTAACAGGAGATAACTGATAACTGACATCCGTCAAACATGGCACGTGGAACTAGAACAGTCTACCCTAGTGAGTGAAATAAAGGGTTCAGTTCGACATTCCAACCACCTGAAGAAGGCCGGAGCGTACAACGCCCGAAACGTAATAAATATGGTGACAAAGATGAGGACAATAGTCCGAATTATGTAAATAATGTAAATAAAATACTTGTGGAAATTCAACTAAATACTTAATATACTGCAATAAAAATCATAAGTATGGATACATGTCATTATTTAAGGAAGTAAGATGGTATAAAGAAGGTTTAATGCATAAGAGCATCATTTATTCTTCCTTTCACGAAGACAGAACAGCATCTCATATCTTTTGTCCTCTTCTGTATTTCTATGCAACCAAAACAGAATGGTCCATTGTTTAGCGGAGGTAATGTCAAGGTTTGAAATAAGTACTCAAAACATGGTACAATAGCTGTACTCCAGAATGAGGCTAACCATAAATAAACAAAAGAGTTAGGGATTTACTATGTCACTTGTTGTTATACTAAGAATTTGTGGGCATGTACTAGCTCAAGGAACTAGCAGAATTATGGTAATCTGATGTCATAATAGTCATGTCTCACAAGACAATTAAAGTATGGATGACGAATAAAAACAAAATTTCCTATGTGTAACAAGGTAACCTTGAAATCAATGTTTTATATGTAAAAATGGCACTTTTAGTGTTAAAATTTACATAAACAGAAAATTACACGTGACAAATTCAACTGACTTCAGGAGGGCAAGAACCTTAGACCAAAAATTGGAAGAAGGAAAGGAGAAGAGATATTTTTTTGTTCAAGTGCAGATATCAGTGCAAAATAACTTTCAGCCATAACAGTGTTGGTATGCTGGCAAGTGGCACATGGATATGTTTTTTTTATGAACTCCAGCTGGGTGGTCACAGTGCCTGCTTGAAAAGGTTTAGTATAATGTCTGAAAAACTGATAAGGGCGAAATTAAATGGAAACTTACAATTAGAAAGAAACCACACGTCCTTTTTCTGTAACAATTGTCTCCAATTTTTATAATTATTTTGATTTCCTGGCAAGGAACTCTTCACCAGCAAGAAAGTCACCTGGTTAATTTAAGGCAATATGAAGTTAACATGAGCTATGAGTGATGTAAATTGTCATCTTCTAAGGCTTGGTTAGGTAAAGTGAAGTCATTAATCATTGTTGTTATTGGGGGGGGGATTTCCCCATATAAAAGTGTCAGTTTCTCTTGGCAGTCATCTATGAGGGGGGGGGGAGAGGAAACAATCTCGATCCAATAACACACCTCCATGTTGCTTAACACACAGGCAGTGAATAGAGAGAAACCTCAAGCACCATTTTGTAGTAATTGGAGCAAAAAACGATTAAAAAATTAGAAAAAGAAATAAAAATCAGTAAATATGTTCAGTCCCCGCCACAAAAAAAAAAAAAAAAAAAAAAAAAAAAAAACTGCTATTTTGTCTATTTTTCTGTTTCTACACCATTTCTTAATTGTCATAGGTGATTATGACTCTCCACAGCTTCCTTTTCTTTAATATCTCATCAGTGTATTGCCATGACTGTTCTTTGGAAATATAGTGGACTTGTTTCTCTGTTACCTTCTCTACAGTTTTAAATTTAGACTTTTTTTTAGCACAAGTCTTTTATAAAGTCCTGTAGAATTAATGAGAATGGCATCATTACGTTCAGAGATCCGGTAAACAGACAAGCCGTTATTTAAAATTTAGCACCATAAATAGCTAATCACATTTTTATTTTGGTATTCAGAAGCAGAAACATTTTGATAGAAATAAAGAAAAGAGTACTGAACTGTTATATAATATCAGTCCTCCTACACAGAGGCAAATGCTGAAGAATCTCCTCACAAATGTTGAAGAGATCTGAAGCAACAAAAATGTGGTTCTACAGAAGGATGCCAAGGATAAAATTTAACTGAACATGTGAGCAACAACAAAGTCTTAGAGAAAATGGAAACAAAAAGGACACTTATACTCAGCAGGAAGAGGCTGTTGAAATTTCCATGAGGAAAGAGGGCTTAGAAAATCTTATACTCACAGGATAGATTGAAGACAAAAGGGAGAGAGGTAAAAACAATGCATACTTAGTGAGCTTCGAGTAAATGGATGATGGAACAGGGTTTAGGAGAAATAATAAAAAGACAAAATTTATTAAGAGCTACAAAGGAAAGGAAATTGTGGAGAGCCAAGATCGCCTATAATCTTATTTAATTCTCAAAATGCATCTGGGAATTTTGGGTTTGAGACTGGAATTTTGTAAGGACCAAAATAAAGTTTCAGAATAAAAAAAAAAAAAAAAATGCTTACCTTTTCTTCAGGTTTATTGCCACGTAGCATCTTCTCCAGACTAAAAGACTGATTGTCATCATGAGATAGCCCAAGAGAACTACAGTAAGACAATTCCTGAAATCAGGCACAAATAAAATTTAAATTTAGGACACAGAAGTAAAAGACAATTAAAAGGCTTTTTTTATTATTTTTATTATTATTACTGAACTCATAATGACACAATGGTCAAAACATGACAATAACAAAGACAAGAAAATTAGTCCATATGTAGTTGATAATTCTTAATGTTTTCACAAAGTGGCAATACTCATGCCTTCCAATGGTAGATGTGGTTTAGACAAGAAAAAGTACTTGGCACTGAATTCTTTTTAAATAGATAAATAATGGGGATTGATGGAAAGAAAATGCTTACTTCCAAGTGTTTGTTTCCCTGTGCATCAATCAGTCTGGTTGCATTTGTAACTAGAGAAAAAGGAGGTAAGAAGGGAAAAATTTAACCAATCAAAATACAAAACATATTCTTGCAGGGAAAAAAAAAAAAAAAGAGAGAAACTTTAAGATACAAATAGAAATTATAGAAAAAAAAGAGCTGTTTATTTAATCAGCAAACATGGATAAACTTGCCCACATTTAGAGAGGGATGTGGAGGGGGATGTGGGTGGAAAGAGAGAGAGAGAGAGAGATATAATCAGAGGGGGGGGGATGGTGGAAAAAGAGAGATATAATCAGAGGGGGGGACATGGTGGGAAAAGAAAGAGAGATATAATCAGAGGGGGGAGACATGGTGGGGGGAAAGAGGGAAAGAGATATAATCAGAGGGGGGGACATGGTGGGAAAAAGAGATATAATCAGAGGGGGGGGACGTGGTGGGAAAGAGAGATATAATCAGAGGGGGGGGACGTGGTGGGAAAAGAGAGAGATATAATCAGAGGGGGGGGGGACGTGGTGGGAAAGAGAGAGATATAATCAGAGGGGGGGACGTGGTGGGAAAGAGAGAGAGATATAATCAGGGGGGGCGTGGTGGGAAAGAGAGAGATATAATCAGGGGGGGTCGTGGTGGGAAAGAGAGAGAGATATAATCAGGGGGGACGTGGTCAGGAAGAGAGAAAATAATCAGAGGGGGGGGACGTGGTCAGGAAGAGAGAGAAATAATCAGAGGGGGACGTGGCCAGGAAGAGAGAGAAATAATCAGAGGGGGGACGTGGCCAGGAAGAGAGAGAAATAATCAGAGGGGGGACATGGCCAGGAAGAGCGAGAGATAATCAGAGGGGGGGGACGTGGCCAGGAAGAGAGAGAAATAATCAGAGGGGGGACGTGGCCAGGAAGAGAGAGAAATAATCAGAGGGGGACATGGCCAAAGAAGAGAGAAAAATAATCAGAGGGGGGGACGTGGCCAGGAAGAGAGAGAAATAATCAGAGGGGGGGACGTGGCCAGGAAGAGAGAGAAATAATCAGAGGGGGGGACATGGCCAGGAAGAGCTTGGAGATAATCAGAGGGGGGGGGAAGATACTAGGAAGAGCGATTAAATAATCAGGGGGGGGGAGAATGGTCAGGAAGAGAGAGAGATAATCAGAGGGGAGGGACGTGGTCAGGAAGAGAGAGAGAGATAATCAAACAGAAATGAGGGGGAAAGTGTAAAGTGGTTGTTAGTGCTTAGAAATTAGCCACTTTCATGTGTTTTATGAAATATCCCTCAAAAAGTTTGTTGTTACTATAGCAATGAAAGGAATGATTATTCTGAAGGTTTTATGAAGACATTTTATTGCTAGAAATGATAAATAAACTCCCTATTGCTTAAAACAGATTTAATTTTTTTTATGTTTAAAAATGAATAAAAAAAGCCATGAAAATTAATTAAACTCACCAACATCATTTAGTGCCATTCTCACTGGAGTGGTAGACCCAGGAGTATTCAGAGGAGATTCAGCCACTGGACTCTCAAGCACTATAGTGTCCTCCCTTTCAGATCCAAAATCTTTATCTAATTCGCATATTTCTTCCGCCCCAAGAATTATCTTTGGGGGGCTCAGATTGGCACCAGTTCCTGTTTTCATGCCTTGTAACTGAAGAAATGCATGGGCACTAGCAAAGTGACTGCCACTGAGGTTTCTCTTGTTATAAGATTCTTCAGCTGGATAGCGCCGGGCCTGTTCGATAGATATATCAGAAGAACGTGACTGTTCTAACGATTCAGTGACGCTGTAAGGTTCTTGTGGCACTAGCATTTCCTCAGGTTCACCTTAGGAAAAAAAAAAAAAAATTCTTGGTTAATTCAAAGTTCCCTGGAATCATCGTAGCATAACTCAAAATCTTTGATAAACTAGTGTTTGGCCAGTAGTTCCCGACCTATTTTGGGCCATGACCCACTTTGGTATTTCTAAAATTCTGGTGCTCTCCTGAAATATTCAATTCTTATATATTCAAAATGTTACTGCAATTCACATGAAGAAAGCTTAAAAGGCCATTAACTTGGTCTCTAAACAAATCTCCAAAGACAGTGGCATCCATAAAAGAGAAAAAAAAAAAAAAAAAAAAAAAAAAAAAAAGATAAAGTTAAATATATATATATATATATATATATATATATATATATAGTTTCAAAATATATAATAGAGAACTGAAAGGCAGAAATATAAAATATTTGTATGAAAGTTTATTCTGTAATATACTTTGATCATAATGCAAGATGAAATTGGTATAGTAAGCTGAAGGAGGCACATCCTATGCATGCCCCACAAAAATATTACCATGCGCACAATGGGAACAATCTTGTTAGGCAAAATAATGACAAAGTGGAAAAAGATATTTTGTGCAACTCATTTCATCCTTTAGGAATTCATTGAAGTCAAGTAATGTTTTTGTTGATGTAATTATATATGCGTATGAAGGAGAAGAGGAATATGAAAATGCAATTGTTGGTTACAATTATGCATAGACAGGAAATGCCAAAAAACATGAAATGCCAAAATCATAAACTTAAAAAAAAATTCTTTTTTTTTTTTTTTTTTAAACGTCTGGTTAGTCTAGCAAATTTCATTTACTTTCATGAACTTGTATTTATCACGTTTACTGTTAAGTAAGCCACATCGCGATAGTTTTGTAATCACAGTATAAACCCGTATTGTTTTTACTTTCCCTTTGTTTGTCTCTTCTTTTCATTTCAGCTACTTTTTAGATTGGTCACCGTTTCTGACCAATTCCTGTTAGCCCTGGAACCGTCACAATAAAGCACCGGCCCAAGCACATGGTTCTAGCTTAAGCCTTATGCATAGAGAATATTTTAACAAATTACGTTACACCAAGTACAAGTGTGTGTTACAATAATAACTTTACAATAGGAAGTTATAATAGATGGTGACAAGGATGTCTGAACACAAGAGCGTGATAAAAATCACAATTTTATAACTGAAGTTATGATAGATGGTGACAAGGATGTCTGAACACAAGAGCAGGATAAAAATCACAATATTATAACTTAGGTACCTCCACAAGATCACTAAAAAAAAAAAAAAAAAAAAAAAAAAAAAAAAAAGAGCATAGCATGATGAAAAAGACACCAAACTTGACAAAAAACAAAATTTTATCATCTAAATGTTTGTTATTATTAAGAGGAAAGATCAAAGTATTTTTGGGGTATTTTTTACATTTTTTAATCGTTCCTAGCGCATCCGAAATTTTCATTAAAAATCTTTTTTTTTTTTTTTTTTTTTTTTAGCAAAAACTGACAGATGGCAACCATTTTTTCCATTTTATACAAAAGATGAAAATCTCACTTTGAAATTCTTTTAAAAATCAATTATCATTTTTTCAAAACTTATTTGAAGAAAATCAGAAATTATTTATTTAAAATATTCTGAACCAAGCTTAACTTAGCTTCTGTGTGGAAAAGATGTAATTTGAAAATAAAACAAAGCAGGTCATGAACTTTCGTGTCATTTAACAGGCGATGAATGATATATTGAAGGATTCCGTGAGGATAATTTGTTCTACGGAACAGAAAAGTGAAATTATTTACATTTAAGTGAACAAATTATTTACCTCATTATTTTTAAGGAAAACTTTCAGCACTATTTTTTTTTTTGTTTTTTGTACTTAGCATTCACCTTTACGATGCTTTATGGAAAATATATTATAAAGAAATTAAAATAAGACTGTTAAGAGTGAGATTAAATTTCATAAGAAAAAGGTATCTAATTAATTTATAGGTACCTTATGAAATTTTATCAGAAGTGTACATAAAATACTATAATTTTATGTACATTTACTACATTTTACTGTGTTATTTGTATTTCCTCTTCATTTTATTATTAATTTTGATATTTCATTTATGAAAAAAATGCCATAACTAATATTAATATAAAATAAGATCATATAAATTTCATAGTATGATACTGATACTTTTAGGTAACCTTCTCAACTGAAATTGAAAAATTAAATAAACTTTTCTACACTTGTTTTGCAAAAGTAAAGGCCTTAACAGCGGAGAACAATGCTTAACTCAAATAACGCAACTTAATTGTATTCTGGTTGGTCTTTCGTACTTTATAATTACCGCCCTATTATAAGCACAAAATTACATTGCTTAATGACTGATTAGTCAAAATGATACAATTTACAATGCGCTAAAAAAAGATCTATCTCATAAGGACACTTATGAAAGTGGATGCGGCTTTTAACTAATTTTAGAATATTTTAACAACTTAAATGTAAAAAATCTATTGTAATTAAAAAATAATAAATAATATTAAAAAATCATTTTTCATCAAAAAAATTTTTGCTTTCAGAAAATATTGTCCATATTCATAAAAACAACTAAAAGCAAATAAAAGCATTTGAAATTAAATAATATATTTTATTTTATTTAGTTTTGTATGTTCCAATTCAGAGCTGATTTTCAGGTAGGGGGGCCCAATTAAATCAACAAAAAAAACATATGCATTTCTCAAAACCTTGTGTTTTTAACTATTGTAATTACTGAAGTGGACTCGATCGAATTTCTAATTTTTTCTAAAAAAAAAAAAAAATATATATAAAAAAATTTTCTGCCATCTGTTTAAAAAGTTTTATAATAATTTCTCATCTGAAATAGTTTCATTAACATCCGACAATTATTTTTATTTTTGCAAGAATTTCCAAATTAATGTGGTTCATACAAAAAAAAAAAAAAAACGTGCTAAAAATTGTATCTGTTATTTTACTAGTTCCGGTGATACAAAGAGAAACAAGGATTTTTTAAATGAAAATTCAGATAGTTCTAAAAAGAAGGAAAAGATTTTTAAAATAATTAAAATAAACTTTGATCTTTCCTCTTAATAATAACAAACATTTAGACGATAAAAGTTTTGTTTCATCAAGTTTAGCGTCTTTTTCATCATGCTATGCTCATTTTTTAGTGATCTCGCGAAGGTACCTATTATAACCGAAGTTATAGTAGATGGTGGCAAGGAAGTCTGAACATAAGAGCGGGATAAAAATCACAATATTATAACCGAAGTTATAAAAATAAAAAAAAAAATAAAGAAAAAAGTGGAATTGGGATCACAAATGTCAAAAAGTGTTTCACAAGATAAAAAAGTTTTACATCTAATTTATCGTTAGGGCACCACTATTCAAAAAGAAAAAATTTTAGTAGCATCAGATGCTAGTTGGAGTGGTGATTTTACACAAATATAATGGTGGTAAAATGAAAGCTTTCACTTATGCTTTATGCTCACTTCTACTGACAAAGAGAAATTACAGCTAGATAGAGAAAGAAGCTCTAGCCATCATATTCACTATGAAAAAAATCCCATAAATTTATTTATGGAAGGAATTACACATTGCAAATAGAGCATAAGTCATTATTAGCATTATATGGTTCAAAGAAAGGTATGCCTATCCATACAGCCAACAGATCTGCAAAGAAATCACTAGATCATCCAAAGTAAATTTGAGGTTTAGGTCCTGATCACATTTCACCTTTCTTGGCAGATCTTCAATTATCACAATGTGGGATATATAATAATAATAATAATAATAATAATAATAATAATAATGAGTTTCAAAATGGGCGTAGAGATGCAACTACAGCACAATACAATCGCTGAAACTGCAAAATACTTAAAAAAGACAGCAAAGACAAATGCAACCGACCAGATACAGAAGCAATGGCAAGATAAACCGCTTCATTGCCAATACTCTGCCCGTGAAACAAACAAGCTGATTTAGACAAAACCCGTACCCATCAGTGGCTACGTAGTGCAGGGTTGAAAGCGAAACTGAAGGTTTTATCCTTGTTGCAAAAGGACCAATGCTTGCTAAACTAGGAATTATCAAGCACATATACTAAAATATTGTGTTAGCCCAAAATGCAGATTTTGTGATAAATATCCAGAAACGATTGATCATCTTGTATCAGGTTGCACGATATTGGCACCCACTGAATATAAAACCCAGCATGACAGAGTGGGCCAATATCTGCACTGGAAAATCTGCAACTTCTATGGGAAGGAAACTGAAAGAAACTGGTATGAACACTACCCAGATCTGGTTACGGAGATAGGACCTGTTACAATTCTATGGGACTACACAATACACACTGACAGAACAATCAAAGCCAACCACCCAGATATTGTTATTAAAGACCACAAACAAAAAAAAGTGCCTTTTTATTGATATGGCAGTCCCTGCTGACTGCAATGTATCTTTGAAGATATTCAAAAAGCTGTCAAAATACAAGGACCTTGAAATAGAAATCTTGAAAATGTGGCATATGGGAACATCAACAATCCCTGTTGTAGTTGGAGCCCTAGGACTGGTTGGAAAAGATTGCAGTAGACTAATTGAAGGGATTCCTGGAAGTCCATGCCTCAAGGAGATACAAAAAATTGTTCTGACAAGTATAGCCCACACTTTACGAAGGGCTTTATCTATGTAATTTTGTTTTTATGTCAGTCGAAAGTGTCATGCTGCCATTTCTAACCTTAGGTCCCTGGGCGGGACCCGGAAAGAAATGTGTAAATGCCAGAAATCAAAGAAAATAAAAATAATAATAAAAGTGATGAAAACAAAAGCAGAAACTAAATGAAATTGGTGGGACAATGTATAAAAATTTATATATTATATTCTTCTGTAAAAATGCTGCCAAACAAACTTTTCAACATTAGAACAAAAAAAAAAAAAAAAAAAAAAAAAAACTTGAGTAAACTTCAATAAATTTTAACATTTAATACTAACAATGATACCTGACATCGCACAGGCCAAGTTCCTTTTCTTACAAATAGAAATGGTGAATAAAAAATCAAGACAAAAATATGCACTAACAGAGAATCACTCAAGTCCTATACACTCCAACTATGGAGAATGCACATCCACCCACAACAAGCTAGTGTTAAATAATAGTTTAGCAGACTATTATTTTTTTAGAGGAAGTGTATTGCTGCTCCAACTTCCTGAGGTAGACCTTTGAGGTCAGGTGGAAGACAAAATAAGAAGTTGTTTTTGATTGGCTGAGTCAATATGAGAACAATAGAAAAAAGGATTTTCGGGGAGTCAAGTCTTAACCATCAAACAATGTAGACATGGTCTTTCATGTCCAAAATTGCTTCCCACTGGCGGGACAACAACCCCACTCGGAGTAAAGGAGATTCATACCTTTCCCCAAAGTATGCATACATAAACGATAATAACAAACTGTACTGGAATTAGAAGCATATTATGTGCTTTGCCAGGGCTACATAGGGTGTCCAAATTAGAGTTACCCTTCTAGACCAGCTGCCAACCAAGGCTGATGATCTCAGTTTTCTTTACTATTTAACCCATAAATGGGACAGATGGTTTCATATATGTGCTTACAAATATATTAAAACAAAAGGGGAAGAAAGAGCAAGGAAAGGATAAAAAAAAAAAAAAAAAAATAAAAAAAAAAAAATAAAAAAATGGATAAGCAATATTAATCAAAAGATTTTTTAAATCTCATATATACTGTGTGTAAAAGCAAAGTTATCTGTGTCAGAGTAAGCTTTGAACCGTTGTATCTTAGAAATGATTAAAGTTATTTTACTGGAATTCTCCAAAGTTTTTATAACACTATTGGACTCTAATTTGAGCAATAAGAATGTATAATTACTCTCTAAGCTTAACAGAAGTATTGTGATCAAATCGATCATAAACAAAAATGACATGTTCATCATTAACTAATCATAGCTAAGGACTGGAAGCTCATGAAGGATTGAAATTAAATTGGATCATTTCTAATTGATCTCTTTAGCTCTAAGTTGAAATGATGGTCTCTCTTCCTGTTTTGACCTCCTGATCCAGTTTTCCAGTTTCCTCTTTTTTTAAACTTATTTTTTGTTCTCTTGATGGTTCTTGAATGGACTTTGAAGATGGAAGCCAGAGTATGAATATTGGTACTATTACTGAAGGCCTGAATGATCTTTTTTCCTCTCACCATTGCTCAGTTGAGAAGATAGCAGGGCTGACACCAAACAATTTTAAGCTGTTCTCTTTCTAGCTGAAAGACTCTCAGGGTTTTTCAGTGATTCATATAACAAATAGTGTTAAGATAGCTAAACATCTTAACTGAAATCCTGGAAAAAAAAAAGAAACTATTAATTTAGCAATTTTTTCTTTTTTCAGATATTAAACATTTTGTGGGCTAGACAATTATGCTGTTAAACCTGCTGTGTGTGTGTGTATATAATTTTCATCACTTGACTGTAGATAAACAGCCTTTTCTTTTTTTCAGGATCATCTAATTCCTCGTACATCCAACATTTGTGAATGTGCAGGTAGTGTAATAGATAGTGAGTCAAAATAAGAAATAGGATAACCAAGTTCAAATTGCAGTCAAGCTCATTAAATTTACTTACATGCAAATACCATTGGTGTTTTTTTTTAGGTTTTTTTTTTTTTTTTTTTTAAACATGCAAATACCATTGGTTTTTTTTTTAGGTTTTTTTTTTTTTTAAAAAAATGCAAATACCATTGGTTTTTTTTTTTAGGTTTTTTTTTTTAAAAAACATGCAAATACCATTTGTGTTTTTTTAGTTTTTTTTTTAAAAAAAATATGCAAATACCATTTGTATTTTTTTAGTTTTTTTTTTTTTAAAACATGCAAATACCATTTGTGTTTATTTTTTTTTTTTTTTTTTTAAAAACATGCAAATACCATTTGTGTTTTTTTTTTTATTTTTTTTTTTAAAACATGCAAATACCATTTGTGTTTTTTTATTTTTTTTTTTTAAAACATGCAAATACCATTTGTGTTTTTTTTAGTTTTTTTTTTTTAAATATGCAAATACCATTGGTGTTTTTTTAAAGTTTTTTTTTTTTAAAAAACATGCAAATACCATTGGTGTTTATTTAAAGTTTTTTTTTTTAAAAACATGCAAATACCATTGGTGTTTTTACAGGGCTAATCCTGACTGTAATTTGCCTTGATTGATAATTTATCATGTATGTACAAAAGACTTACACTTTGAAGTATTTGATGATTGTACATGAATAAAAGCATACATACCATTCAAGAGGTAGTCAGGAAGCAAGCCCATTGACGAAGCATTGGAAACAAGAGATTGTTCAGACATGACTGATGTGTCCAGTTTTGTAACTGCATTTGCTGTCTGGGGAGGTAAATTTTCAGCACTTGTGGAAAAGAAAGAAAAAAAATTTTCTTAAAATCAAAATCAACCCAGGCAAGGCAGTAAAGCCACAAAGTCACAAGGGATTACTTGGTGTGAAATAATTAGAAAACAGAAGCATTATTAAGGAGCAAGAAAAATAGATGATTAATCAGGAAGACAGAAGATAACGATTGAAATTGCATTTAAATTTTTGAAGATCAAACTTGACTGTAAAGCAAGAAGCCAGAAGATAGTTCTACAAGCAAGAAGTGCAAGAAAAGAAACCGTTAGCATAGAACTTAGGGTTACATCTAATCAATCCAACTATAAATTGATGAGACCATGTTGCCAATCTAGTAGTGCACTTAAAATTCATAAAGTCTAGGTATCATAGCAAAGAGCTCATTGAAACAATTCTTATGAAAATATTTATAGAAGAGGCCCAGGAAAGCAACATTATGGTGGTTGGAAAGTGACTGAAGCTGAGAGGCCAGGTCATGGCTAATCATATTGCCAATTTGGCTTTGGATTTTATCAAGAATATAACAGGAACACTGGATTTTTTTTAAGTGTAACCACAATGTTCACAAGTACTTAAAATGTATCACAGAAAGTACAAAAGACGAAGATATGAGAGCATCAACATCCAGATGTGCTCAGTGTATTTCATCCAAATATATAAAAAAAAAAAAATTTTAAAAAGTGCAGCAGGAGGAGTCATGTACATCCTAGAATTATACAAAAAACTGGCCATTTTTGCAGTTTCTTTAGTGGTAGATTGATCACAAGAGTTCCACTAGAGATGAGATTTGAAGAATCTGGTGTCGGATAACTTACCGTGAAGATTTCTGCTGTTGACAGGCTTCACTTTGTCGCTTCCCAGTTGTCTGTCGAACACTGGTCCCACCAGGAAGGAAAACCCTTAAAATAAAATTAAGATTCTGCCTATATTTCAGTGATGAGACATTGTAATTATTTACATTGTTTGGACAGTAGTCCTCATCTTTATCAGAAGACAAACTTAAGAATCTAGAAGGGAAGTCAATTTTTGGTTGCTTCTAAGCAGCAGCCACTTTGACCAAAGCAGAAAATAAAGCAGTGGAAGGGAGATCAAGTTGCAACAAAACTGGAAATAAAGTATATCCGGGTGCTGGTCTATATTCAGTCATGCTCTGGAGGAGGGAGAATTTTGGTTTGCTACTGGCAGGAGATGGACTTGTTGGTAGCATGGTTCCAAAACCTTCATTTGTATTACCAGCCACCACATCAGTATGAGGAAATGGAGGAGGAAGAACAGACATAGAAGTTGTTCAAAGTGTCACCTACACACCCTGAATAAAAACAGAATTGGTTGGTTTGGCAATTTTAGTTTTGGTATTGGTTTCAGTATTTGTTTTTTTTTTTATACTTGATACCGGTTTTTGATTCGGTTTTTTGGTTTTTAATTTAGTATTTTTGCTTTCTAAAGAAGCCATTCATTTTCTTGTGTAATGGTAATGTTTCAAGTCGATATCTGATTTTGTTCAAGATTGATAAATTTGAAACAGTCTGTTCAAGTCACAATATCTCGTGTATGGTCCAATCTTAAAAATATTCATAAGGCTGGAAAGAAAAAAAATCTTTCTAAATATGTAATTTGTATGTGCTTTTATTCATCGAATTTTTTTTTCTCCCCCCAAGACTAAATTTTACACATTACATTGTTTTACAAAATCAAAGTGTACACTCAATTAGAAGACACCTTAAACTACAACCAGGAAGATGTTCATTTCTTCTGATTCAAGGAAGTGAATCCCTTCAAAAATTATAAAGTAAGCAAAAAAAAAAAAAAAAAAAAAAAAAAAAAAAAAAAAAGCAACTGATAGTAATAAATGTGTAAAGCTACTGTCTGACTAGTGGCTAAAAAAAATGAAAATAAAAAGAATAATTTTTACTTTGGTTAAAAAAAAAAAAAAAAATATGACTTGCAGTTTTGAAAATATCCACATTTTAAAACTGAGATTAAAACTTATTTTAATTTTTCAATATCTAATTTTAGGTGTATTATTCACTAGATAGAAACAATTTTATTTGGAGAAAACCATTTTAGTCTAGTGACTTGCATATCTGGAAATATACATATTTTAAAAGTGAAATTAAGAATTATTTTAATTATTCTTAATATCTAATTTAGATGCATTCCCTAAATAAAAAACATGTTCATTCATTTTTATTGTTTAAAACAAATTTATTTCGTGATTGGTGGACTGGCTTAGAAAACTCTCGTTCAACAAAAAAAAAAAAAAAAAAAAAAAAAAAAAGACTTTATAAAATCTAACATTAAAATGAAACTGGCAACTATTTGTCATTTTTACTTGCTATTTTGTTAATTTTACTGCAAAAATTTATTTTTGAAAACAGAGAAATACATTTCAGACATGTTTTTCTTCATCTCTTTTGTAAACAGATTTCAGTGAGTGTTCTTTGCGAAATGTATATTTATAAATATTTCACATTTATTTCATAAAACTAGTCAATTAAATGTTTCTAACATTTTCGTTCAATCATATTCTTTTAGAATGGTATAAATGTTAATAAAATTTAATTTTATCAACATCTGAAAGTCTTTTTCAATAGAGTCTCTTTGGATATGGTCACTCAATAGTGATAGCACTTAAAAAACGAAAGATTTGTTTCTTAAAAAAATGTCAGTTTTTCGGTTAAACCACCTATCTCTAATCTATATATAATATAGGAAACTGGATTTGTTTCTCAATGTGGCGTTTGCTGCTTTGTGAGCATCAGTGAGCTCTTCCCCAGTTTTTGGTGCATATCAATGAGGTTAAGGTCGAGGCCGAGAATCGAAATGCAGCATGGGGGGGGGCGTGATTATTGGTTGAGGGTCATGCTCTATATTTAAAATACAAAGACGAAAAGCTTACAAAAAAGAAAAAAAGAAAATAAAATAAAAAAAATGAACAAAATAAATAAAAAATTCTTGATAGAACTAGACCAGTAGATGGAAATAAATAAAAACAGAGCATCTTCTCAAATATGGGTATCCATTAAAAATAACATTTAAGCAATAAATTAAAATACATTGGATTAATATTTAGCATGCTAAATTCTTTCTAGAATTGTTCCTCCGCCACTGAAATTTTTCAGGGCACAAAAACATGAACATCTATTGTTTTAAAATTGTTATAATTTTCTTTGTATTATGTGCATAGATTTTAATATTTTGTATACTAATAAAAGAATGGATAAGTAATGTATTATGTTGCGCTTGCATGTTTTGACATTGAAAAAAAAAAAAAAAAAAATTGAAACACAAAATAAAAAAAACAAATACATTAACAATTAACATACTTTAACTTTTATCACACCTTGTGGAGTTCTGGGGGTGCAATAAGAAACAAAATGGCTAAGAAGGCTTTCATTTCTGAAAAAAATGAGGTGTTTCCTCGTGTTTACATACGAGAAGACACCAGCATTTGTTTGGTCTTTCTTTCACCTGAAAAGCATACTTATTTGTCTCATTGACAAATACAGCTACATACATATAATGAAAGAGCGCAAGAGAAGATATCACAAGATTAAATAAATGTGCAAGATACCGCAATATGAAACAGCGGAATACAACTGGGACATTTCAGTGCTTATGAAAATATTTACCCAGGGTGCTTGAAGACACTGTCTGTGCTTTGATCAGCTGAAGCCATCTGTGAAATTCTGTCTGTAAGATGATTGTTAGCAGCAGCAACAGCTGCCTGGGTATGAGATGTGCAAGGAAGTGTGTTCAACTTCTTTCTGTAAAAGAAAAAAAAAAGATGAATCAATTATTTTGAAGAAGCTCTGACAAACTCAGTGAGTAATAGTTAAAAATCTGACCTAGTAGATGATTACCACTGTAGTGAATTCCACCCTCGGATGGTGCAAGTCTACCATTTTGATTCTGTAGGACATTCATCATCTGTTACTGTGCAACCAACAACAAGACTGGTCTCAAGGACTCTTCAATAACTTCACTGCCACTGTTATATTTACTTGTGGCAAGCCTCATTGGTTCTCAGAGGTGATGACTCGTGAATGCAATCATATAATCTATTCTTGTTCTATTGCAAGTATCAAAGTTGCAATCTGTTCTTTGCTATTCTGCGACTGGTGTGGATTTTATCTATCAAATTGAATATCTGACAGGCCTGCAAATGAATTCATATCACAAGAAAAAAAAAAAAAAAAAAAAGCCCAAGAAAAAGAAAGAAAAAAAAAAAAGCCCAAACCAAAGTTATTTATTAGCAATTATGAGGCAATTCTGTTTTCTTTCATCCTCCTGTTTGTTGCTGGAGTGAATGCTAATTTCCATTACTTTTAGATCTTTTCCTATGAACTGTCAGTTTAACAAAAATAGTGACTTCTTTTGTCTCCATTCTTATGACTCTAGCTAAAAGGTAACTCCATATTGTACTTATTATAAAACCCAGGTTGTGTGTGTGTGTGTGTGTGTGTGTGTGTGTGTGTGTCTGTTCTTTTATATATTGGATCGGATTTCCTACATTTTTCAACCGATTTCAACAAAACTTCACCTTTTTTTGGCAGGTAGTGTTTCTTATTGTCTTGCACACTTTTTCCTTTATTTTTACATTCAGAATGCTTTAAAAATTCCATTTACAAGACAATTGTTTATAATAAAATTCTATTCAATCGGTAGACTCATAACGATTGAAAACAATGTTTTAGTTTGAATTTGGGTTTGACCAATTCGTAAAAAAAACTAATGAAGACATGCGTGTCTGTCAACCTTAAACAATAATCTTTGTCAATTTTATTTTTCAGTCTTTATGATGGTCTATACTTGATCTATCTCTTACTGTTACATCCCCGGGCAACGCCGGGCTCTACTGCTAGTCTGTAATAAACAGGGGACAAAACGGGCCTTACTGACTGACTCTCTCCCAGTGACTGCAGGTATGGGCCTTTCTGTGTATAAAGAGTTCAGACACCCTTTCCTTCAAAGAAGATTCTCTTGACAAAAATCAGATGCCCTCAACTGACTAACTGGGTCCGCTCAATGTATACACAAATATATTCTTTTATTTTCTGAAGTAGGGTCAAGCCATGAGAAATAAATGTATTTGGGGTGTATAGGAAAATATTCTGATAATTTTTGTACACTGAATTAGAGAAAAATTCTATCCAATTGTCTTGCCTCTTTAGCACATGTATTTATTAAACATAAAGAGATACTGCTAGTTCAGAGATGCTGGGGCCATATAGGCAAACATCACAGGGTCCAACACTAAGGCGTTTCTTGATTATTTTTTTTTTATAAAAATGTGTGTGTGTATATATATATATATATATATATATATATATATATATAATATATATATATATATATATATATATATATATATATTATATACACACACACACACACACACATACATACATACATACACACACACACACACACACACACACGATTTTTTTTTTTTTTTAACAGAAATTGAATCTGAGAGTGACTTACTTGGCTGTAGATGTAGCTAGTGGTGTGGGGGAATTACACAGGACCCCATCATCAAAGGGATTATCCTGGAGATCTTGTTCCGCTACGGAGTTACTAAACATCGCTGTCACCAGAAGCCCGCCACATCCAATTAGATGACATCTGGAAAGAAAAGAAATATACATTTGGACTATTATCCTCATTTTGTTGAATTCAGATATTCTGATGAATATCTTTTCCTTCAGTCTTTCCTTGCAATCAAAATGGAAAGGTTGATTATTTATCACAGGTAATGACAGGGCATAACACGTGCTAACTTACTAATGGAGGAAGAAAGCAGAATTATACGATACTTTAAATTAAATTTTTTTTTTTTTATTCTGACATTGTTTCATTACTATAAGCATATTTAATGCGTTTGTACACATGTGAGTAGACATCCATTTTATTTTGAAACAGTGAAACTGAACTCACAATTTGCATGTCACCAAAGTCACAAGCCAACACAAACCCACATGGAAATTGTCCCAGGTGGATAATCCTGAAACTAAACTTTGTACATGTTGACATGTAAGCAAGCGTAAAAAGTAAGAAAAGTGTGAGAAAATGCATTGCCCATTAGGAAACGCAGAAACACATCACACACACACATATCCAGTTGCCTTAATCTATCTACTACCCTCATCCTTTCTTCTATCACTCCTATCTGATCTTGCTTCAAATTTTCTGTAACCCCTTGCGTCCTAGTGGCTTCCCACCTTGCTTGGGGCGAAATGCTTAAAAAAAAAAACATATACGTACATATGCACCTTCACTCACTTATCATTTGAACTTTAAATGTTTTCACCCCCTTCCCACACACAATGTCACTTGTATATCACCTTTCTTGTTAATATTATCATTTGTTTGTACATATATCACAGCTGTTTGAGGTTTACTATAGCCCTACTGAACTTATATAGAGTCAATTCAGGTTTGCTATGGTAAAAATTTTCTTTCCCAAGTGAAAATCATCACAAAAATGGCAAAAGTCATTTTGTCACAGCTTATTTTCTCTCAAAAAATGGATTTTCATACTTTTATAGGGGTAAAATATTGAAAAATGACTGTTTTATCATCATCTAAACTAATATCAAGGAAACGTTTGATCTGAACCCCATGAAACTAGGTATTTTCTGAAAGCAAAAGATATATTCTTTCATTTAAAAGTAAAATTAGCAGGTGTAAATGACTCAAAAATTTTTTCAGGGGGTAAAATATGAAAAAAAAACAAAAAAAAAAAAAAACAGTGAAAATTTTGTATTTTTTCTAGTTCTAAACAAAAATTTTCCCCATCAATGGGAAATTAACCTTTTTTTTTTTTGAAAAAATCTTCTCTGAATCATAAAATAAAAAATGCAATAAAACTAAGACATTATTTAATTGTTAATATTAAGGACACTAGTGTCTTAAATTTTTTTCCCCCACAATTAATGAATTTTTACGCCAATTGTTTTCATGCTTTTAAATCTTATTTGGAATAAAATTTTAAATCTTGAATTTCTGTATTAATTTTACCGGTTAGGTGATGTTAAATAAAATCTATATTTATTAATCATAAATGGAAAAACGTTACAACTCAGTGATCCCCAATATTTTAAAAAGAATTAAATTTTTTATATTATGTATATAAACATGCCAATTTTTGTAAATATGGACATCCATACATGACATTATCATAAAATAAGAGTGATAACCAAAGTGCCTAAAATTCAATAAAATATTAGATTACAGAGAATATTTTCATAAATTTTTAAGATTACTGGGTAGTTATGAAGTTAGTTTGCGTGTGTGTGTGCATACATTATATATATATAACACATTTAATTTTTACTTTTACATACCCACTCACAGACAAAAATTAGAGAAATTAGAGGCTGTCACTACCTTAAATAAACACCTACCTTATATTTAAAAAAAAAAAAAAAATGCATTTCTGCCATATTTTAAACTAAAAAGTAATATTTGTTGCAAATTAGAATAATTGAACTTTAAATCAGGTAATATTCCTTCAATAAAGTTTCAGAAAAGTATACTTTATTTCTAAGATTTTTTTGTTAAAGAGAATTACATTGTGCTGACATGATGGCTAGAAATGGCACTAAAATCAGGGATTTTTAGCAATTAGAAAAAAAAGAAAAATTCCTTCCCATCAATTTAAATTAGTCTTGAAATACAGTAAAGTATTTTCCTTATTGAAAATATTACATTTAATCTATTAGCTTGAATTAAAACTAAAATAAAAGCTTCAAGAAAGATTTCGTTTTTAAAAATTAATTTTAAAAATGATAAATATAGTTGTTTTTGGAGGGTATCTTAAACTTAGGTAACTCCATGAGATCGCTAAAAAAAGAGCATATAACGATGAAAAAGATGCCAAACTTGACAAAAACAAAATTTTATCGTCTAAATGTTTATGTTATTATGAGGAGGAAAGACCAAAGTTTTTTTTTTAATTATTTTTTCCTTCTTTTTAGAAGATTCTAAATTTTGATTTAAAAAAAAAAAAACAAAAAAAAAACACACAACCTTGTTTCTCTTTGTATTACCGGAACTAGTAAAAAATAGTATATACAATTTTTAGCACATTTTTTGTATGATACACATTTATTTGGAAAATCTTGCAAAAATAAAAATAATTTTCGGATGTTAATGAAACTTTCAGAAATTTCATAAAAAAGATGAAAATCTCACTTTGAAATTCTTTTAAAAATCAATTATCATTTTTTTCAAAACTTATTTTAAGAAAATCAGAAATTATAATGTTTATTTAAAATATTTTGAACCAAGCTTAACTTAGCTTAGCTTCTGCGCCGAAATGATGTAATTTGAAAATTAAACAAAGCAGGTCATAACCTTTCGCGTCACTTAACAGGTGACGAAAGACATTGTCATGACATTTAGATAGCTTATGTGACGATAATTCCTTCTATGGATGGAGAGAAGTGAAGTTATTTAGATTTAAGTGAACAAATTATTTACCTCGTTATTTTTAAGGAAAACTTTCAGCGCACTAATTTTTTAATGTTTTTTTTTGTACTTAGCTTTCACCTTTATATTTATGATGCTTTATGGGAAATATATTATAAAGTAATTAAAAAAATAAGATAGTTAAGAGTGAGATTAAATTTTATAAGAAAGGTATCTAATTTATGAATTTTATCTTATGAAATTTTATCAGAAGTGTACATAAAATACTTTAATTTTATGTACATTTATTACATTACTGTGTTATTTGTATTTCCATTCATTTTATTAATTTTGATATTTCATTTATGGAAAAAATGCCATAACTAAGATTAATATAAAAATAATATCATATAAATTTCATAAGATGATAGTGATACTTTTAGGTACCCTTCTCAGCTGAAATTGAAAAATCAAATAAACTTCTCCACATGCATTTCGCAAAAGTAAAGGCCTTAACAGCGGAGAACAATGCTTAACTCAAATAACGCAGCTTAATTGTATTCTGGTTGGTCTTCCATACTTTATAATTAGAGCCTGATTATAAACACAAAATTACATTTCTTAATTACTGCGGGTCTTCTGATTAGTCAAAACGATACAATTTACAACGCGCTAAAAAAGAAAAAAAGATCTATCTCATAAGGACACATAGGAAACCCGATGCAGTTTTTAATTAATTTTATAATATTTTAACAACTTAAATGTAAAAATCTATTATAATTAAAGAAATAACAAATAATAATTGTATTATTCATTTTTCATCGAAAAAATGTCTTGCTTTCAGGAAATTAAAAACAACAAAAATCAAATAAAAGCATTTGAAATTAAAAATAATATCTTTGTTTTATAGTAAATAATTGAATTCTAAATATTGAATTGTAACATACAAAAGTTTTGTATCTTACAATTCAGAGCTGATTTTTAGGTGGGGTGGGTGTCCAATTAAAAAAAAAAAAAACATGATGTGCATTCCTCAAAGCCTTGTGCTTTTAACTATTGTAATCACTAAACCCGATGCGATCGAACTTCTAGCGTTTTCACAAAATTAGTTAGGTGGGGGGTAATAAATATAAAAAAAATATTTCTGCAATGACTTTAAAAAAAAAACATATTTATAATAATTTCGATAATCTGTGAATAGTTTCTGAAAGTTTCATTAACATCGGACAATTATTTTTATTTTTGCAAGATTTTCCAAATAAATGTGTGTCATACAAAAAAATGTGCTAAAAATTGTGTTATTTTACTAGTTCCGGTAATAAAGAGAAACAAGGGTTTTTTTGGGGGGGTAATCAACATTTAGAATGTTCTTAAAAAAAAAAAAGGAAAAATTTAATTTTAAAAAATAATTAAAAAAAAACTTTGGTCTTTCCTCTTAATAATAGCATAAACATTTAGAGTAGACAATAAAATTTTGTTTTCGTCAAGATTGGCGTCTTTTTCATAATGCTATGCTCTTTTTTTCGCGATCTCATGGAGTTAAAATTAAAAAAAAAAAACTATTTTATTTTTTTTTTAACTAAAAACTTTTTTTTTTTTTTTTTTTTTTTTGAAAATTTATAAATAAAAAAAATAACGGACTATAAAACTTCTGAAACACTTCACGTCGTAGTAAAAATAACACTCAACGTATTATTACTTAAATTAAATCCTTGATCAAATTTAAGACTGAAAACAAATTTAATTTCAAATTATAAACATTTTTTTAAAGCTAAACAACAAAAAAAAAAACACTAAAAGTTAAACTGACATTAATTTTTTAAAAAATTTAGTGTTTATTTACCAAGAACTAATTTTTTTAAATTGAAAAAAATATATATTGCACTTACCGATTGGTATACGAAGATGTCGCAACTTAGTAATTTTATGTTCAGGAAAAAATATCGCCACAAGTATTTCCAATTTTTTTCAGATTTCCTCCACACAGAAATAAATATTGTTTATTGTCGCCTTATTGATAACTTCATCAATTTACCCACCGCGCTTTAAAATTTATATCAGTTAAGAGCAAAATGTAACGGCAACTTTTGATTGGCTCAAAATAAAGCCAAGTAACACAGTAAATATTCACATATGCAATGATTTAAGCATAAACGATTTAAATATATATATATGTATATTTTTTTTATTAATTGATTGATATTTATCTTTTTAGTTTAAAGTCGTTAAACAACGAAACTTTCAAAAAACTTCGTTTCCGAAAAAAAAAAAAAACAACATTTTCTGCGGAGGCACTGTGATGTATTGCTAAAAATAAAATTGATTATCAGTTGAATTTCAAACGGCGAAAAAAATTACGTCATTAATAATTTTCGTTTTGTATTTCTTTATTTATTTTAATGTTGGAAGATAAACGATAAACAAAAGATAATTAGATATATACTTTACAATTGTAAAAAAAACAACTTTTGAAATCTCCGAAAACTTCAAATGAGAAAAAAAAAAGTTTTAAAAAATTGATCGGTTTTCTTTTTTTAAATAAACTATTTGTCTTTTGCTGCGTGTAGCACACTTGGCTCATTTATTTCACTCAAAAAATTGCCAATCCATATCAGTTTGTATAAAATACGAAGAAATATTATTGCAGTTTTGTTTATTTTTTTGTCATACACTTACACACATATTTGTGTACTGTATGACAGGTGGACGTGAAATAAGATATCACGTGAATTTCTTCTTTTTTTTTTCCAGGTATATAAACATGAACTGGGTATAAATATCAACAGTGATGAAGCACCTGGTGAGGGAATTATTACAGATCTCAGTTTACGAAAGAGAGCAATAGTGGGTGACGAGAGTTTTTTTTTTTTTTTTTAATTTTAATTATCGTTCTACTCACTGCAGGTACCCTTAATAAAGTTCTGACGCATCATAGCCACAAATACTGGTGTTTTAGTTTTATAAATATTCACGGAGGTAATGTGTGGTTGAGAGGGCTGCACGTCCCCCCCCCTTTTTATTTTTTTTTCCAAAAAACTTAGAATTAAAAATCAGAAAACTAAATTTGAACTCAGTTTTTGACAATGCGACTCTGAACTGAACTGTATCCTTTATCATCACAGCCGTTAATTTTTACAAAATAAATCAGAAAACTTCATTTACTCTTTTTTTCGTTTTTTTTTTTGGGGGGGGTGAAAGGAGCAGCAAAACATTTAGCATCTAAAGCTGTTATAAATCTTATATGTGGAAAAATCCAACAGATCTTGTTCAAACCAACTTACGCATGAACATATACATACAAACACAAAATCACATGTACAAATCCAAACGATCATTGGCTAATAAATCACTAATGCATTTTCTACAGACAATTTACAAAACGCAGTAATTCAACAATTTTGGAATTGCTTCATTTTTTAAGTAGTCAAATTTGTGCACTTTTGGGAGAAGTGGCTCACAGAAGCTTCCTTAAGTCTCCCCCAAAGCTCACTCGCTGATTGATTGATGCCAACCAATCAGATCGTTTGCACGTGAAGAATAATTTTTCCTGTGCAACGAATCAGAACCTATAGTCACTTAGTTAAGCCAAGATTTTTCTAATCTCAATTAGTGAGACCTCAACTGCTCTAATGAATCCACAACAGTTGGAACTTCAGTTCTTACCACACGTCAACCTTCTCACTCACACCCACATGCTGATAATAATTTGTACACCTTCACTAAAAACTTCTTTTGACACAACAATACTTTTCAACAGTAATATCACAAGAACAATCATATCTTGAAACACTCATGAACATTTATCCAGTGAACTTTAAACCAAATAATTATCTCTCACTGAACTCTTAAACTGCAGTTAAATAGAGGCAACTCTTGATTAATTCAACCTTTCTTACTTAAATGCATGTTTTCTTTCACATTGTTGTTTGATATTGTACATCTTGTTCATATATATATATATATATATATATATTGTATATTTTATTCTTCTTGCATGAATCCTGTTTTCTTATCAAAGTTAAATTAATGTGGTGAAGTACCTCACAATCTCATTTCAAAAAAATAAGTAAAAGGAAAAAAAACTTGTAATGCTTGAAATAAAAATTAAAAAAAAAAATGTTCATAAGTTTTTGTTTTTTTTTCTGAAGTACCATATCACTTCAAAACATTATTCTCAAAAGATTTTTTTTTCTTTTTAAATTTTTATTATCTGTGAATTGCCATATTTCTTGGGAAAGATAGTGGAGTGATTTCCCATTGCTTTCTCTACGGTTTTGAAATACAATTTTAATATTACTGTGCGAGTCTTGAGAAGATGTTTCTCTTATCCCTACAATCTTAACCTCTTCAAGTGTAGGGTCAATAACTATCTATCCTACATATCCTCATAATATACAATTTTGGCTCTCAACCTGTACACTCATCCCCATTCAGTAACCCTCTACCTTGAGTGGCTCCTGTATTGGGTGAAAAATAGTAGGAAAAAAAATTGGGATTTTTAACATTTTATTTAAATTTTTTTCTCATACAATTTTATTATTGTTTTTATTAAAATAATTTCTATCTTAAATTTAACAAAATTCCAATATTTTAATTATTTTTTCTCATACAATTTTATTATGATTTTTTTTGTAAATAATGTTCAAACAGCCAAATTATACAGGAAGTAATAGTAAGACATGAGCTAGATGAAGACACCATTGCCACTAATGTCATACGATTATGTGGGAGGTATTTCTGCCACACCCTGTAGATCTATGAGAGGTTCTGATAAATAATATAGAATCAGGCAACTTTAAAACTTAATATCTGACTGAGACCCTCTCCAAACATTCTTTCTCTTCTATGTATCATGTCTCTTCAGGATGTGGGTAATCATGGCTCTCCACAATTTCCTGTCCTTTTTAGCTCTAAGCAAATTTTGTCTTTTCTCTATCTCTCCTAAACCCTGTTCTGCTAATCACTTACACAATTTCCTGTCTTTTGTAATTCCTAAGTAAATTTTTTTTTTCTCCGTCCTATTCTGCAACCTTTAGGGTTGTTCTTCACTGTCTGATAATTGAGTATTTGGCTCTCCACAATTTCCTGTCTTTTGTAGCTCTAAGTAAATTTTGTCTTTTCTCTATCTCTCTAAACCCTGTTCTGCCAACCATTTACACAAGCTTGTTCTTTTTCTCCGTCTATATACCTTGAGGATGTAGATGATCATGGCTCTCCACAATTTCCTGTCCTTTGTAGCTCTAAGTAAATTTTGTCTTTTCATTCTTCTTCATCATCATCATTCTTCTTCTTCATCATTCTTCATCATCATCATCATTCTTCATCATCATCATCATTCTTCTTCATCATCATTCTTCATCATCATCATCATTCTTCTTCATCATCATTCTTCATCATCATCATCATTCTTCATCATCATCATCATTCTTCTTCATCATCATTCTTCATCATCATCATCATTCTTCTTCATCATTATTCTTCATCATCATCATCATTCTTCATCATCATCATCATTCTTCTTCTTCTTCTCCTCCCCCTCCTCCTCACAATTGCAAGTCCTTTTTAATTTTTCATCAATGTTATCTTTTCTAGTCCCTGTTCTGTCAACTACTTCTAACATATTACCCGCCATCAGTTGTTAAAACACAAGTTAAAATCATTTATTTAACATCAATTATTAAAAGAAATATAGAAATCTCTGAATATTTTAAGCACTTCAAGCATAACAGTCTCTGAAAATCCCAAACTTGACCTTCGGCATGGTTCTCTTGCCAATACACTTCAGGTAAACCCACTAAAAAGACAACAGTCACAGACCATAGAATCCATGTTGTTCAAATCCTGCCTACACAGCTCACACAACCACTATGTTGATGACCCCAAATATAATATATTCTTAGTTTGAAAACACTTTTTATATATACCAGCAAAATAGCCTTAGTGTCTATTTTAATGGGGCCAGCAAAATATCCTATTTGATAAATATTAGGGGGTTTATAATTATTTACGAAGTGTTATAACTCCCCTACAAACTTTATTGTTTCAAGGTTCTGAAATTCAGTTCATCAGATTGTTGGAAAATAATTGAAAAACTCTTACAGATCAAAGATGGTTACTTGGCATTGTTGTGACACTAAGAACAGGAAGTGACCACTTTCATAGCTTAAAACATAATGACATAATAACTTCCTGTTGAGGTTGATTAAATACAATCCTAAATAAATATATATTGGCCAGTAAGAAATGAGCGTGCCTGAAATAATCAACCACTTAATCAGAGCCTCTTTCAACTTTGCTAACAATTAAATAGATCTCAGTCTAATCTGGCCTTGTGTCACATCTTGTTGGTAAATTGATAAAATAACTTCTTACAGATCAAAGATGGTTGCTTGGCATTGTAGTGACACTAAGAACAGGAGCAGGAAGTTATCCCTTTCATAGCTTAAAACATAATGACATATTTCGGACTTTGTGCAATAGGCTCCATGCATGACTTCCTGTTGAATTTGATTAAATACAATCCTAAATAAATATATATTGGCCAGTAAGAAATGAGCGTGCCTGAAATAATCAACAACTTAATTGGAGTCTCTTTCAACTTTGCTAACAATGTAAATAGATCCCTGTCTAATCTGGCCTTGTGCCACATCTTGCCTTGTCGGGAGGTTGGTAAGTAGAGAGATAGATTCAAATAGGAGACACACAGAGGAGATACAGGGAGAGAGACGAACACATACAACTGTGAGCAGATTCATCAAAGGCATCATGGCTTCAACAACCACTACCATTCCTCACACTTTTCTCTCGTCATTTTCAACACCCCAGTACTTCTCTCCTACATTCTACCTCCTTTTCCTTATTCACAAGACATATTACCAAATAAAACTAGCATCTCTCAAAAACACTTAAGTATTTTACAAACTCTTGTATTCATTGAAATGTAACAAAAGAAAACATTTTATTTACTCTTAAATACCAACCTTGTGCCATCTATGAACATTACTACTGTTTTTGTACAATACGAAACTACTTATTAATGTTTATATAAATTTATTATTGTTACACTCCAGACTTTATTGTTCTTAAGATGTAGTTTATCGTGTTTTATTTACTCATTCATACAACCCTTCTAGTGGGCTAATCCTAACAAGGCCCAAAACGAACCCCACAGATAACCCATTATAGCATATTCCAGTAGCAGTAATAATAGCACTGTAAATGTTGCATAAAACAATTTTTCTGTATATATTTCTGAGATGAGGTATTATGTACATTATTTACATTATTCAGACTATTCTCATCTTTGTCTCCATATTTATTACAACGTTTTGGCCCTTCAGTATCTGTCTATATTTCTGAGATGAGGTATTATGTACACTATTTACATTATTTGGATCTAACGAATGCCTTTATCCACTGTGCCATGTGTCCAGTGACAGGACCCACAGAGTGTAAGTTCAATAACCGGTTAAGGCAGTGGAGAACTTTCAGAGGGAAAATTAACAGGAGATAGCTGATAACTGACATCCATTAAACATGGCACATGGAACTAGAACAGTTTACACCAGTGAGCAAAATAAAGGGTTCAGTTCGACATTCCAACCACCTGAAGAAGGCCAGAGCGTACAACGGCCGAAACGTTGTAATAAATATGATGACAAAGATGAGGACAATAGTCCGAATAATGTAAATAGTGCAAACAATTTTTCATTCTGAGGTTTGTGAGGCATGGTAAACAAATTTTGATTTATCATTTATAATTTCAAAAGATTTTGTTTTGCTTTATTTTACAGCATATCAACCTCAAGGAGTTATTTAATGCCGACAAGATTTTTATTTCTGGTAATATTTTTTTTTAAGAATATATTACTGGTAATATTTTTTTTCTTTTTCAAAAATGTATTGCTGGTAATAATTTTTTCAAAAAAGTATTAAATGGTATTAAAAACCTATTTTTATACTTTCATAGTGTTTTCTATTTGCCCATAGCTGGGACCCTGACAGGTGCTACCACCCGGGGTCAAGGTGGACCTGGGAACACCAGCAGTCTCCTGATCAAAGGCCTTGTTGTCAAATGTAGTTTATCGTCTTACCCAGAACGAATTTGAAAAGAGTGCCAAATTAAATATTTGATTAAAAAAAAAAACAAAAAAAAAACTGATTTAAAACTTATAATTTCTTGGGGTGAATTAATATTTGTGATAAGTAATTTTACATTATTTCAGGTGAATTTAACTAACAGAAAGGATCCAAAAAAAAAAAAAAAAAAAAAAAGAAAAAAAAAAATATCGGTTTGTTCTCCTGTTAGGCACCCAGAGTAAGTTTTTTTTTTTTTTTTTTTGTAGAAAGTTTTTTATTTTCTTTTATTTTATTGTCATTTTTAATTTTATCAATGTTCGCACCCTTATAAAAGTTAAGCTGTTTTTCTGGTACGCAACTAACTTAACAACAGTCCGGCTATTTAAAAAGTAAGCGGTCAACTTAATTAGCTTTAAAAAAAAAAAAAAAAAAAAAAAAAAAAGAAAAGAAAAGAAAAGAGAGAAGAAGGAAAGAAGAAAAGAAAAGAAGGAAAGAAAAGAAAGAAAAAAAAGCACAATGGCGGAGAGACGGCGACCACCTGCTTCAAGCGAGTCGCATGAAAAACTTAGCCAAACAACGCATGGAAGCTCCTCATCGACCCCAGACAGCCCCACACGGGTTCGTGGACCATCACAGAATAGATTCAAGTTCATTTTGATTGCGATAGCAACTGTTGGAATTGTTCTTTTGCTTGTTTCTTTCTCGTTAATCAACATTGTTGATCATCCCGCAAAAAAGCAACATGGCAACCCACGTGGGGATGATATCAATAAACCACAGGCTGTCAACTACCGAACTGGGCCCTCGGAGACACTTCGAGCCGATGCTAAAGAACAGGACACAGAGTTGCCTGTGTTGTTGACATTCACCAATGTGAAAGAGAACCCAAGCCTTCGTTCTAATTTAGAATTGTGCGTTAAATCCATGCTTACCCACGCATCGAGTGATTTACATTTGATATTTATAATACTTGGCGACGTATACAGCCAAGAAATTGCCGCTTCGATCATAAAAACTGCAGCTGAAACAGTCCCAAATAAAGTCAAATACGAGGTAACACTTTTTTTTCTTAGCGTTAATTGTATTTTTTTTTTTACATATATAAATAAATCAAATTATGCTTGCGGGGATATTGAACTAAAAAGTTTTTAAACGAACTTCGTTTTTTTTTTTTTTCCAAAAATCTCTTCAATAATGACTGTCGGTAATAACTTTACTTAAACTTTTTTTTAGCTTTAAAAACCTGTTTTTGTACGAAAATATATTTTTAAATCGATAACGTTACCTTTTTTTTTTTTTTAAATTTAACTTTTTAAACTTTTTAGGAGGGGGGGTTCGATTTACAATATATAAGTTTAATGTTAAATTCAACCTTTTAACACTTTTTTTCGTCTATTATTGATGAAAATAGTGAGTCTTCTTCGCTTGTACATGACGGTCATAATTTTAAACATACGGAAGCCTAAAATTATAAAAAAAGATTTTTCCAACGAGAAACTAATGGTTCACTCGTAAAAAAATATGGGAAAATCTTTTTGGAAAACATTTTTGTAGGTTGTTTTTTTTTTTAAAGATCTTCCTTAGGCCACATCATTTCTAAGAATCGAAAAATGTTGATTGGTTATCAGAAACACAGTCCCGTTTGGTGATCCAGTGTAAAATCGATCACTGACTTGGTAGTGTTCTGGGGAATGAGCACTTTGTTTCAAACTATGGCTTATATATCCGCGTCATGTTTTTTTTTTTTTCTCTCTCTTCTCTTTTCTCAGAATCTCTAAAAGTTTTCTTTATATTTTCTTTTATTTTTAAGCATTGGGTTTATTTAAAGTACATTTATTAATTTATATAAATTTGAAAATCCCCCGGGTCCCTTTTTAGTTTTAATAATTATTTTTTTTCGGAAATAGCTAAAAAGAAAAGAGAAGGATTTGCTCCTCTGGAAGAGAAATCATTTTTGTTCCTGCATTTGTACTTTAATGACAATAAACAAAATATATTTTACCGTTCCATTACTCAACATATCTATATCTCCATCTATCTGCATACAAGCCTGTTTTGCTATATGACAGCTCATCTGTGTGGTGAGACATTCTGATTGCTTCAAGCCGGGATTGAATCTCAACTAATTTGGTATCAATCAGAGACTATCCCTAAGCTATTGGCACATGGCAGAGAAAGGAAATCTTTTAACGTATTATATACATGATGTATATAAATGCCAAATTAGCAGCCAGAGTGCTCAATTCACATATGAAGAGCAATGTGTTATAAGCGGGAGAAGCCAATGTTTTAAAAATTCCCTTTCCTCATAATGCTCAATTGGCAAACGAGAACAAGTCATCCACATACATGCCTGTTTGTTGTGGGATTCAAACGCCTATGTTAGATGAACACCGCAAACATTAAAATTGAAGAAGTGACACAGGCCAAGGCAAGGATGAGTAAAAGAATCCAGATCTTTGCAAATGCTATGGGTGATTGTGCTGGTGTTTGTTGCAAATGATTGTCGCTGGTTGTGGAGGGTAATTACTGATTGTTGAAAATGATTTCTGTTGGTCACTGCAGATGATTGCTGTTTATTGCAGATGATCACTGCTGGCTGTCACTGGTCACTGCAGAAGATCATTGTACATAATAGCTGCTGGTGTCATCCTGTTGGTATTTGCTAAGGCGACCACATCATCCACGATGAAGGTTTGTCACTGGGAGGTATCAAAGCTGGATAGCTGCTTGGGGCTGGTGTTTGATGAGGTTGAGATTTTATAAAGACTAGACTGGATAGCTGAGGCGGTTAGCCCAAGCCTGAGACTTGGTCATTGAGATGTGCGGTCCTGTTGAGTGATGACAGCAGCAACACCCTTCATGATGGCCAGTGGCCCGCTAAGCTGCAACTCACTCGGTTGTTCTCAGAGACCTGCTTTTAATCAGGTCTGGTAGTCCCCAGGTAGTCTATTTTTTTCCACTGGTAATGTTCATGGTTGGCCACAGCTGGTGCCCGTTTCATAGACCAGACATGATGCGTGGAGCCTAATGCACAGAAAATGTGGTGTTCATATCCAGCCTGCATGTAGAATGAATGAATTTAAACAGACCTGGATCAAGGTCGATCACAGCGTGCGGCACCTTTGAAAAGTGCCTGAAAACCATACCACAGGTTGACCCAAACCTTGTGAGTGAAATTGGGTAGACAGAACTCTTGAGGGCCATCGATAGCTGTGCTAGCACAAAGTCACAAGTCATTGTGGCCAAGGGTTTGAGCGTGCTGGCCTTGTTCCGGTTGTTGATCACACTAGATAACACACTCTCTCCCAGAAACTGTAACTAAGGTCTGCTCAGCATAGTTGCAGTATGAACCACAGGTTGGCTCTGTGGGTGTTGAACAAATACAGATGTGCCTGAGCGAGTGTCTGCAATAGGGATTGGCTAGCTACATTAATACATGGGTCTCCTCGAATACGAGTGGCCAGCCATTATATAATTATTATTTATAAAAAAACATACTTATGTTATAATTTTTTTATAAATAATTATTATATCTGTTCTACTTTGTATTGAGCACTCTTTTAAGAATAGTAATTGTTGGTTATTGTGTGTTCATTCTGTATATACCAATTATATAGAATATATATAGTTTATATATATATATATATATATATATATATTGAGAGGTTTTAAATATTGATATTTTTATATTAAAATCTCCTGAAAATGATTTTAAAAATAAGTGTCAATAATTTTATATAAAAGATTATTTTAAATAGAATTTTTTATTGTTGGTGGTTCTTGATAAAATTTCAGGTCTTCAGACGAGCAAACAGGACAAACCCATGATGTTGGGAACAAAATTGATATTTATGCAATAATCTTTATATATATATATATATATATATATATCAATGAATGAGAAAAAAATAATATATAAATTCTAATGTTCATCAGCATTAATTTAAAAGAATGGCTCAATACCCTTGTAGAGCAATAATTAAATATTATAATTTTATCATATTGATTCAAAAACCCGCAACAAATTACAAAAGATGGCCTTTAACTTTGTTTTGAAAAAATTCCCAATTACTACTATAATTATTCTTTGAATTTATCCTCCTAATTTTTTTCATTTTTACTCTCTCCTATTCCCACCTTTTCTCCCACCCACCCCTAAATTTTAGAAGGAAATGGAAATGTTGTTCAGGAAACCTTTGACTGTTGTTATTGAAAAGGAATTTTCCAGTCTCTTTGTCACTTTAACAATATTTGTCCATCTTTTTACCCCCGTACTATATAATCTATTGACACAAACTTGTCAGGTAGCTTTTTTTATGTATTTTTTTTTTTTTTAATTTTGGAAAAAAAAAATGATGTTTCATATTCCTATTATATTACAAACAGAATTGTTCATACCCATTTTGGTTTCTCAATATAAAGGTGCAACTGAGATGCACTTAAGACTATTTAGTTGATCTTTGTATTATCAGTAAACTGTTTTTGAACCCGACCAAAGATTATATATATATATATATATATATATATATTTTCTCTTTTTTTTTTAAGTTTATAGTCCTGATTGTTAAACTGGGAAACACTTTTCCGAAACCACACCCAAGAATTTTCCATCTAAAACCTTTTTTTTTAAAACTGTGACATTCTTTTGAATCAAAATTTGGTTGAATTTAAAATGTATTTACAGATGCATTTATTAAATTTTTTAATCATTTTTTCCTTTCCATTTAAAATCTATATATAATAAATGTGAATGTCCGTGAATAGTTCATTATTTTTTGAATTGGCAGGTCGTAACGATCTGAACTTTCAATAGGTCATGTTACAAAATTTGGGATTCCCAAGTTTTCATTTCTGAAATCATAAAAAAAAAAAATTTGAAAAAAACAATTTTTTTCAAGACAAAGGGTTTTTTACTATAACAATTTTTGATAACTTGAAATAAATTTTGGAATAATTTCTTCATTAATTCCAGCAAATCCAAACCGGTCGTCTAATAAAATAAATTGTTTGTATGGAAAATGTCCTCCACAATCACCCCTTTCAAATTGTTTTAAATTAAGTGGTTAAGAAAATTATTTTGAAAACCTTAAAAGGTAAGTTTAAATATTAATGCAATACTTTGAATGCAGCGAAAAAAATTTGAGTTATAAAATTTCATTGTTTTTTTTTATCGTTTGCGGAAGCAGAACGTTTTGCAAAATGAAATTAAACCAATAGAAAATGTGATAAAAAAAAAAAGAAAAAAAATTTAGGAAAAATAAGTTTTGTAAAAGAAAACAGAGATCAAACGGCAACCATTCTATCTTCCACTGTTGAGAAAAAAATATAGGGATTAAACAAACTCCTGAATAAAAAGGCCTTTTTGAGTGGGGTCTAGTTAAAAACTTTCAATGCCACCATTGGATTGACTAAACTGAGCTTGATTTGTAATACATTGTCTTTACATTTGCCCACCAAAAAGTCCATCAGATGATGAAACTGTAGGAAATAGATATAGGTATATCGGTAAAAAAAATCATAAAATTTTGTTTTTATTCTTAAAGGTTGGATTTTTATTCCAGTAGTCAGTAAAAATTTATAACAAAAAAAAAGACCTACATAGAGACTTACCTCGTTATGGTGACTGCCGCGCCCATGGTTTTAAGAAAGTGTTGTTTTGTGTGTGGAAAATAAATGGATATATCGTATAGCTAAGTTTAAGATAAGATAAACTGATGATTGATATGCAAATTACTTTTGGCCTATCCCAGCTAGTTGACAAAAAAAAAAATAAATTCTGCTTTCAAAAGCAGTTGGTTTCTCGATTCGACGAAGGAAAATATGGGAACTAATTTTTGGCTACATAAAGACTTGAGGTATTAGGGTGACTTATTTTCCTGAATGGTTACACAAATTGTGATTTTTGGTGTAAGGATAATTGAGTTTTCAGGGCATTTCCTTCTGTCCCTATAACTATAAGATAAAACACATTGAAGACTAGCCTTTCTCTATCATTTTTCTTTGTGTTGTGAAAATGTATTATATGCAAATAAATTTGCTTTCCTCTATGGTACCCAGACTTTATAAATTTAAGCGTATTTAAATTGACAGTAAGGTTTTTTACAGTTTAAGCTAGATTTATTTAATTCTATAAAACAGTTTCCCATAAAGTTCGCTTGTGGAACTCTCTTCCGGTTTCTTGCTTAAACAATTTTTTGTTTTTTTAAATAGAAAATAATCTTCTGTCTTCTTAATTTATGGGTTATGTTATAATTCAGTGATTCAACAAGATTTCATATTCTCAATCACTTTGCTCTATCATGTTAGAGAGTTTTAAATTGAGGTGAAATGATTTTTAAAAAAATTACAAAAGATGGGTCCCTGGAAGAAAAGATCAATTTTTGAAAGTCGTTGTCTTTCAGAAAACCTTTTTATAAGATTTTTTTTTAAAAAGAAAATTATTTTGTCTATAAAACAAATGTGTATAAGAACCAAATTATTTCATTTTAATTGTTTGTAATAAAAATCATCTTTATGTGATTTACAACATTAATGAAAATCATTGTATTTTCCAAATGTTTTCCATGAACTGCAAAATCTTAAAAACACATGGCCCATTATATTGCCTAAATATATACTGGAGGACATTTTTCATTTCCATTGATTTCATCCAAACCTTTTGAATAAAAGTTTTTTAACATCTGACGCGAGTGTAATCCAAATTACAAATTATTTGTATTTATGAAAATTACGAATAAAAAGCCCACTTTTTATATTGTCTGATATATTAATTTTGTAATCTGACAGAAATATATATATATATATATATATATATAATGACAAGCAAATAAAGAGGAATATGTATATATTGAAAAATTGCAAATTAAAAAAAATTTATGTTTTTTATGAATTTATTTATTTATTTATATATATTTGATATTTCAAATATTGACCTTATTTCTTCATCAATAACTGTTTGTTTACAAGTTTACAAAAGAGTTTGTCTGTTCGGTTTGCCACTTTAATTCATTTCAGGCTTATATTCCACTCAACTTTGATCTTTTTTAAAATTTTAATGCAGTTGAGCGAATCTTCTGTCAATCAATTTTGCTCTTTTAGTGTTGTAAAAGTAGTTTTCACAGTGGAGGCTTGTATTTCACTAAATCGGTCCTAAAATAGGTTCGACGTACAAAACGTTAGGAACTTGATATAATAGGTAATGACGCAGGGTAATCTAGTTGTGGTGGCTTGATACTTTAATATCCGACATCAACTGTCTCACTTAACTGTCTGAGCCCAACTGACCCTCGTTTCTACTACTACTACTACTTATTATAGGTGGGAGAGTCTATTAACAATAGAATAGGTGTGTTCTCATATAACATCCCCCTCCTTAAAACTTTACTCTGTAGGAGTAAAAAGTTTTCTTTATTTTTTTTTTTTTACAGAAAATATGAAGAAAAAAAAAAAAAAAAAAAAAATTTTTTTTTTTTTTTTTTTTTTTTCATCGTTAGCATATTTCCTACGTTTTTTTGATCCACTTTTAAATGATCAGTTGCCTTTCTTTTTTTCTTCTGGATCGGCGTACCTCAGGTAAAATTATTTACAGGCGTTGTTAGATCAAACGTATTGAAAATCACCTCCATCAGTGTTTTTTTTTTTTTTTTTTTTCGACCGCTGTCAACCACGTCTGAAAAACGTCGTCTGATCTGTTTACTGCACATGAGTTTTTCCCTTTTCACCAAGTACCTCCGCCAATCCACTTTTTTATTTTTTTTTTTTTTTTTTTTTATATCTCCATAGTGTTACCAGAAACAACCTTCCGCTTTGAGCTTCTTAAAGATGGACTCACAGTTTCTTCTAGGTTCTATTTGTTCAGCCTCTAAATTTATTTAATAACGTTTTCTGTGGTGACATGACTCCCATTTAATAATACTGCATGTCCTTAACTGCGGGTCCGATCCCCAGTTTTTTTTGATGTCGGCTTCATTTTTACTTTCTGGGGCTTTTTTTTTCACATATATTGTCGGTGTTACCCATTCAACTTTTTTAAATACACCAGTTTTTTCTAATCTGTCCAATTCTTTATTTATCTGTACAGTTGAAGCAAACAGCACATTCCTTTTCTTTTTGAATATCGCCTGTAATTTTGCCTCGAGCTTGGTACACGTTCCCAAACCTGGAGAAAAAACAGTAGGAAAAGTTCCTTTAAGTTTTTTTACTAATTTTTGGGCTTCCGAGTTTAAATTTTCAACCTTGTAACAGAAAGAATTAATCGGTTAATCCCATAATTGGAATTCTGTTATCCAATCCATACCAAGTAAGTTTGTGGTATTTTCTATGACAAATAGTTTAGCTTTTCACATTTTTTTATTTAACGTGACGTTTGTAACAAATTCTCCAATAAATTGTATTTTTTCTCCCGTCAATGACCTCACGATTTTATTTGTTTTCATTAAAGTTGGTTTCCCCAACTTCTTCCATGTATTCAAATTTATGATAAATAGGTCGGAACCAGTGTTGAGTTGCATTTTAATTTTTTTATTACTTATTTCGACGGTAACAAATTTTCTGGTTATTCCGTCGTTCACTTCGTTGGACTTTAATTTTCTTATTTTATTGTCTTTATTTTTTTTTTGACCTGCAATGCGTGCTTTTATGACCCACTCTTTTACAGTTGAAACATTTTTTTATTCCTAAAATTGCAATATCTGTACCAGTGAAGTTCACCGCAAGCAAAACATGGCTTCGGGAGTTTTTTTTATTTTTCTCTGGTATTTCACTTTTTGTTTGATAATCCGCAATTTTAGAATTCTTTTTGGTAGACTTTTCTTTTTTTGTAGTGTATTTTCCTTACATGCGAAACGCCAGACTGTTCTATCTTTTTTCGAATCTTTTTTACGCTAACATATCTTGTGCAGTCTTCTGCCAAACTTTGTATCGTAATACTTGGTTGGTTTTCCAATTTTGAAAGTACTAATTTTTTCCAACTTCTGCATCTCTTTCTGATACCAGCCCTTGAACAAATACTAAGCACTTAAAGTTGTCAGCAATTAACTCTGCTAGCTTGAATTCTTCAAAATGCTTGTTCACATTGGCTGCATACGTTATATAGTCTTGTTCATCCTCTTTCATCAGATTCAAACATTTCCACCTCTTGTGAAACAAAGGTGTCTTTTTAAATAATTTACTTGATATATTTACCGCCTTGGTAAAAGTTAACTTGCTATTCTTTTCGGTAAAATGTAGTTTACCAATTTGTTATGCTCAGCAGTTCCTAACTTGCTTAAAAGAAGTCTAACCTTCTTTCCTTCAGACCACGTGTGACAGTCCTCGTTATACATGTCCGTATATTTTTTTAAAATACTCTTCAAAAGTTATCTCTTCATCTGGACTGTACGTGAATATTTCAATCGAATTCCATATTGTATTCTCTGGGAAAGAAACATTTTGTAGATTTTTCTCTTTCCTCTTCTCAGTTATTTCCAGAATTTTGTTTTGAAACTCCTTATGCATCAGTTCCATTTCTTGTTGAAATTGAATCTGTCTATTACAAGTTTCCTCCTGTAGTTGCATCTGGAATGTTTTCTGTTGCTCTAATATTGTCATTTCTTGTTCCATCTGGAACTTAAAAAATTCCTGGAATATATTTTTGCATTCCTCCATCTTCGCAAAATATTTACACAATCCTTAAATATTGTAGAGGGGTGTCCAAAACGAATTTGTAATTCGTGACCTATTTGAGCAAACTGTCTTATCGAGAGAAAAAAAAATTCCTTTCTGAGAATACGACTGAGTTTTTCGTCATTAAGTTGACGTCTTGTCTTTCTAAAAACTTTTCCAAGTTTTTTCTCCTTTTTTTTTTTTTTTTCTGAGATGTTGTCGCCAAAAATTTGATGAGCAAATTTTTTTTTTTTTCCTCTGTATGAAAAACGAATTTCGTCACTAAATAATGCGAGTGAATTTTTTTTTCTTTCACTATTTGAATCCGAATCCGACATACGCCATGTTTATTATGGCAGGTGAATTTTTTTTTTTTCGTATGAGTTACGAATCCACGTTGTCAAGTGTTGTAGAGTGAATGCAAAGTTTTTTTTTTTTTTCTGTATGAATCCAAAATACGTTCGTCACCAAGTGACAAATGGCGAAACAAATTTTTCTTTTTTCTTTCTTTAAATTTTTTTCGTATGAATTTCAAATTCTGGTCGCCAATGTGTTGTTATAGAGTGAACAAAAACTTTTTCTTTTCCCGTATGAGAAACGATTCCTTCGTCGTCATATGTGTTGTAAAGTAGCTTTCACAGTGGAGGCTTGTATTTCACTAAGTCGGTCCTACAAGGTTCCGACGTACAAAAACATTAGGAAGTTGCAATAATAGTTAATAACGCACCAATCTAGTTGTGGTGGATTGATATTTCAATGTCTGACATCAACTGACTCACTCAACGCCACTGAGACCAACTGGTCACCGCTACTACTACTTATTATGTGTGGGAGAGTCTATTACAATAGAATAGATAATGTTCTGGTATAACATTTAATGTTCTCTCTTCTTTTTTCCTTGCATCTTAGTGGCTTTATTGTCTTGAAGTTAGATGTATAAAAAATGCCTGAAAAAAACAATAGCTTGTGCAAACATTCACGTTATTCAAAAAATTATAAATAATAGATAAAATTGTTTTAATAGAAGTATATTTATAAATTCAAACTGATAGTAATGTTGGCTGTTCAGTTGATGACTTCGAATTGTTTCCTTATAACGAAACTACTAAGACTACTATTTCTTTTGTATTTTTCTTTTTTTTTCCAGTTTGTTACTTTGGATATAGATAGTCTGACTGGCCTCCTCCTTGACATTATCCATGGCTTGCAGCAGTTTTTCAGCTCCAAACAAGACACCTACTACAGCCAGTCATTGTTTTTCCTGTCATTGGCCATCCATCGAATCATGCCGTCCACATTGAAGAAACTCATCATGTTAGATGTTGATCTCAAATTTGAAGCTGACATTGCCCAGTTGTTTGGACATTTTGATCGTTTCACTGACACAAACATAATCGGAATTGCCCGTGAGATGCAGCCTGTTCATCGACATATTTTCCACGCATACCGTGATGAGAACCCAGGCACTAGGGTTGGAGGCCCCCCTCCAGATGGTCTCAAGGTTTCAATAGTGGAGTGTTACTGTTGAACATTGAGCGTAAACAGGAAATCTGAATTGTACAATGCCTTTCTTTTCATTGATGATGTCATACATAATTTGACGATCAAATACAAATTTCAGGGCCATCTTGGCTTTATTTTTTTTTTTTTTACCTTGCTGTCAATGGAACATGAAGAATTGTTTTTTTTTCTACCCTGCACCTGAATCGGCAACTGTGCCAATGGTGGAGAGACAAAGGCTCACGAGGATGTTTTTGATGACTACTACAGCTGTACGGGAAAAGTGAATATCTTTCATGGAAATTGTCACACGCCAATTCCATCCTGAAAAATCCTGTAAGCATTGTACACATTGGCTCATGAATTTTGTGAGTTCAATCCCTGGGCTGGGTAGTATATGCCTCTGTAGACTAAATAGAGCTTTCCCAGATCAGCAAACACCAGAAGACACGTGTGGGGGGAAAAAAAAATTGATCAAAATGTTGTGATAATTATGAAGACGAGGGGTTTTAGTCCCCAAGTGTAAATAATGTAAAGTTTCTTATCTCAATCTACAATAATTCCCAAAATAAATAATAAAAGTTAATTTTTATATATCTATTTTCTTATTCATTTCTTTGATATTAGCCAAAACCAATGTTCATGCCAGAGTTTCAGAGCCTGGTCAAAAGTATATATTAGTCCTATGTATATCTATTTATTTTCTTCTTCATTTCTTTGTTATTGGCCAAAACCAATATTCCTGCCAGAATCTCAAAACTGGGTCAAAAGTATATATTATACGGTAAATGTTAACTTGCTTTTTTTTTGTTTTTTTTTTCTTCTTTTTTTTTTTTATCTTAATCTACAATTATTTCCAAAATAAATGCTATATATTTCCATGTATAAGGTAACCTTTAGATAAGACAAAGTTAAAAAAAAAAGCAAATTTTCCTGAATTTATCCTAGACTTAAGTATAAAACAATGTCGTTAGATATGTTCTTACTGTATCATTAGAAATTTAAAATAAACGAAATAACAAAACCAATTCTATATTGTGTTTTTCTTACACATGTTCCCTAAAAGGGGGAAACCATTGTTTTGCTTACGTTTCATCATGTGATGTCTGAAGATTAATTATTATTCTTCCGCTTCTTTTCCGAAATCGACTCTTACAAACAGCCTGGTGTACTAAACACGAATTACTTATAATTTATATTTAACACTAAAATGGTAATGAATCTTTAATGAGAAATGAATATGTTATCCTGAATGTTATTACTGTCGTAATTGACATTATTGAAAGTTTAGTGAAAGATAAAGGTTGCTGTGAATACAAAAGTATAATTCAAAGTTTACATTTTCTCAGCTGAGCTTGCACAGATACAAGTTGATTTCATTGCTATGGAATTATTCTTTGAATAGGCAATTTATTATGATGTTATACTAATAATATATAGAGATGGTCTTATTAAGTTGCATTAAAATTTTTGAGGATTGAAGTGCAAGAAAAGAAACTGCTATAATTAACACTACCATGATCGTTATTTAAAGTTTAGTGAAAGATAAAAGGTTGCTGTGAATGTAATCATAACACAATGTCTACATTTTCTCAGCTGAGCTTGCATGGATACAAGTTGATTTAATTGATATAGAATTATTTTTTAAATAGGCAATTTATTATGAAGTTATATGCGTAATATATAAGGAAGAGATGGTTCTATTAAGTTGCATTTAAATTTTTGAGGATTGAAGTTCTCACGGAAGCAAGTAAATAGAGGTGAGTAGATATAAAACAGAAGCAACAGATGCGGATGTTGAAGCAATATTCGATGCATGGAAAAATGGTAGATGTTTTAAATGTGCCAAAATGGTAGGTCATGACTGATAACAGAAATCTTTATTTGGATTTTGTCAAGAATCTATAGATATAAAACAGAAGCAACAGATCAGATGTTGAAGCAATATTCGATGCATGGAAAAATGGTAGATGTTTTAAATGTGCCAAAATGGTAGGTCATGACTGATAACAGAAATCTTTATTTGGATTTTGTCAAGAATCTATAGATATAAAACAGAAGCAACAGATCAGATGTTGAAGCAATATTCGATGCATGGAAAAATGGTAGATGTTTTAAATGTGCCAAAATGGTAGGTCATGACTGATAACAGAAATCTTTATTTGGATTTTGTCAAGAATCTATAGATATAAAACAGAAGCAACAGATCAGATGTTGAAGCAATATTCGATGCATGGAAAAATGGTAGATGTTTTAAATGTGCCAAAATGGTAGGTCATGACTGATAACAGAAATTTTATTTGGATTTTGTCAAGAATCTATAGATATAAAACAGAAGCAACAGATCAGATGTTGAAGCAATATTCGATGCATGGAAAAATGGTAGATGTTTTAAATGTGCCAAAATGGTAGGTCATGACTGATAACAGAAATCTTTATTTGGATTTTGTCAAGAATCTATAGATATAAAACAGAAGCAACAGATCAGATGTTGGAGTAATATTCGATGCATGGAAAAATGGTAGATGTTTTAAATGTGCCAAAATGGTAGGTCATGACTGATAACAGAAATCTTTATTTGGATTTTGTCAAGAATCTATAGATATAAAACAGAAGCAACAGATCAGATGTTGGAGTAATATTCGATGCATGGAAAAATGGTAGATGTTTAAATGTGCCAGAATGATTCTGTTGAGAAAAATTGTCTCGTGTTTCTATTTTATTGCTTTCTGGCATTTTGGCTCTGAGCAAGAATTAAACAAAGTCCATGTCCGTCTTTCACCTGAGGGGGTAGAGTTAAATTAATGCTTGATTCCCAAAAAGTGAACTGTCAAGGGAACCAGACCATTTCTAGCATGAGGAAAGGACAAACGACGAACAGGATTCAAGAAGATAAAAGAGGTCAATTGAAATTGCATTTAAATTTTTGAAGATCAGGGAAGCAAATAAATGGAAGGAATTTTCGCAGGTGGGAAGTGCAAGAAATGAAACTGCTGTAATTAACACTACCATGATGATTATTGAAAGTTTAATGAAAGATAAAAGGTTGCTGTGAATACAAATATAACTCAAAGTTCACATTTTCTTAGTTGAGCTTGCATGGATACAAGTTGATTTCATTGATATGGAATTATTCTTTAAATAGGCAATTTATTATGAAGCTATACCAGTAATATATAAGAAAGAGATGGTTTTATTAAGTTGCATTTAAATTTTTGAGGATTGAAGTTATCAGGGAAGCAAATAAATGGAAGGAATTTCCACAGGTGGGAAGTGTGAGAAATGAAACTGCTGTAATTAACACTACCATGATGATTATTGAAAGTTTAATGAAAGATAAAAGGTTGCTGTGAATACAAATATAACTTGAAGTTATGCCTGCAATATATAAGATAGAAATAATTTTATTACTTTTATTATCAGTTTATTTGATAATGTAAATCTTTTCAGGTACGTTACTGGTTATCACACCGAGGTTCGCCTACTGACAAACCTCACTCAGAATTTAAAGTTTCCGTCTTAGAATTGTAGTATAAGATAAGCCCTAATTTTTAAGGGTGATTTTTTGGATTTAAAGTTTGTCTTGTATACGGAAATATATAGCAAGCGTTTTTATTTTTTTCCTTTTTTTTTTTCTTTTTTAATTTTGTTTATATATTTGTTTTTATCTACACTCACTACACGTATACATCTTGTTTTACGTGTAGTGAGTTCTGATAAAAAATATATATACAAAAATAAAAAAGGATTAAAAGAAGGATTTTTGGATTTTCTTTAAAGCTGTTACCTTCTCTCTCACCTCTTACTTCTCTCTCTCTTCTCATCTCCCCTTTCTCTCTCCCCCTTCGCTCTCTCTCTCCTTTCTCTCTCTCTCTCTCTCCCATTTCTCTCTCACCTTGTCTCCCCCTTTCTCTCATTGTCTCATCTCTCTCTCCCCTTTTCCTCCCCTCTGTCACCCTCCCTCTCTCTCTAAACTTCTCTTTTGATAGCTCTCTCAACTAATGAGAAGGTGACCCTCAAATAAAGAGGGAGAATGGTTGCCAAAAATATTGGTTAATTGCCAAACGATACGGACTTTATAAAATGGTAAATAAGGATTTCCTTAGAGTTAGATCAGATATTTTAATAATTTAGTAAATATTTATGAATAAAAAAAATTTATTCCTTTATAAATTAATAAATGATAAATGTTGCATTAATTCTAATTGTATTAGTTTTTAAAATGTAAATATAAAACTATTCTTCTAAATAAACAATCTAAGAAATAGTGTTTAATATTTTTATTGCAAATTCTCAAGAACAAAAAAATGTATAAATCTACTTTCATCATATGTTTAAGGTTTATTCTAATCTTAATCCTTGATTTTTAAAACCATAAACATTGCTGAGGAGTGAAGGTAGTTAAAACAATAGCAGTGTCAAGGGAAAACAAAATGTCCTTTTGACACCCCCATCTTATTGCCGGCAAATGTTTATCCATGTTTGCCAGAAGCAAACAACAAAATTATATGTCCTGTCACTACCTCAGATAACTAATGGCCCATTCTGTTTTGATTGTGAGGTGGAAGGAAAAAAAGAGACATACTCTGGTTGTCATGAGAAAAAGAAAGTGTATATAATAATTAATAATGATAATAAAGAAAAAGAAATTGATTCGATTTTTACAGCTTATCAACCCTTTGCAGGTTATTTAAAGCCAGAAAATATTTTTAGATTTCAAGATTTAGTGATACCAGTCTTACTAACTCATAGTTTTGGTTGGTGGGTATTCATACCTTATTAGAATTTGATAAACAGGAAATTATAAAGTGGGGGGGGGGTCGATTCTTTTTTACAATCAATATGTAAATTGATCCCCCATTTTATGGTCACGGCAATTTCTATACATTTATATTCCAGAGAATGCAAATAAATCCAAAGACATGCCTGTGTAGCTCATTTGATTTTTACGGCTTATCAACCCTTTGCAGGTTATTTAAAGCCAGAAAATAGTTTTAGATTGCAAGAATTTTCTTTTTTGTGATAATTTTTTAGATCACTAAAATATTATCTTAAAAGTCTTACTAACTCATAGCTTATTATTATCTCAAAAAAAATCAGAAAATATTTTTAGATTCTAACGAATATTATTTGAGATAATAATGGTTTAATGATACAAGTCTTACTAATTAATTCCCAAGCGGTCACCCTTCTGACCAGGCCTGACGTTGCTTAATTTCAGTGATCATACAAGAACTGGTGTTTCAGTGTGATATGGCTATAAGCCAAAAGAAAGCGGAGATAGAGAAAAACTGTAACTCTATCAGGTACTTAACGTTTGCTTCCCTAAAATGGAAATCTTGCAGATATTGATCCTTTTCATTTGTACCCCCTTACTTCTTTAATGACCTACATTCATACTTAAGATTGTCATTGTAATGTTTTGTGCAAGTTGTTAAATTCAGATATGTGCAAAGTGCAAGGAACTATTTCTGTCATTGAGTTAAAAATTATGACTCCTCGGAAAAGTGCAGATGGAAAACCATGAAACGGAAGCAAGAAACTATTATGAGAATAAATGAATGAAAACATATCGGTAGTATTTAGTTTATGGAAAAAGAATAGAAGATAGAGGAGGCGATAATGCTCTCATCTATTTAGAGTCTGCTTTCGTGAATATTTAGTCAATTTCAAATCTTTTCATTTGTACCCTCTTACTTCTTTAAATAATGACTCGCATTCATAATTTTGATTGTCATTGTAAGATTTTTAAACCTGCTCAGCTCAAATATTTAACAATGGAATGGAAGAATTTCCATAGGTATTTTGTAGTCACAAAACTTGCTAGTAGCTTATTCAATCATTAACTTAAGAATTAAGATTCATCAGGGAATTAAAACAGGAAAATTATTTTTCTCTCATTTCTGGTCATAATAAAAGTTCAGACTCTTGAAGCCTTTATATACAGATTTACTTGAACTACTATCTTTATTGTTATTATCATGATATTTCGGTCTCTGTAGTCTTTGGGTGTCCTAGGAATATTCAATTTGACTGCCCACTCAAACACGCCAACTTTGATAAGTTCGAAATCATTTATACAGTTTTGTAGTTTATGACTCATTTTCCATTCTACATCTTTTCCCACAGACAAATGTCGCATACCTATCACTACTTACCTTCAACAGCAAAATTTCAAACTACAGGCTATCCCTCAAGTATGGATACAGGCAAAAGTGGATATTTTCAAGCAATGAAATTTCAATATTTTATTAAACTGGAACATCTTCAGTATAATTTCCATCATTTTTGATGCAAGATTTGATGCGCTTTGCAAGGTTCATGCGAAGTCAATGCAATAATTCCACATTGCTGTCAATTTTAGCGCATTCACTCTTTATGCATTCAATAAAGTGTGTTGCATCTGTGACTTTCATTGAGTACAGCTTCTCCTTTAGCATACCCCAGAAAAAAGAAGTCAGTTCTTTCTTTCAACAAAATCACCTGTGGAAGTAAAAAGATATAGAGTTAATGAAATTTCCTATGTGTCCAGACTTTAGGGACACCCTATATATATATATATATATATATATATATATATATACACATTTCATTAGATAATATAGACAAGTGTTGTCTATTTATTTTATGTAAATTTTTTGTAACATCTGATAAGTTTAATAACATTATCGTTGAACGAAGAAAGAAATTTTTGCAATATTGATCCATATTTTTTTAATATAATCTAAGCTTTTTACACATAAGCCATTATCAAAGATATGCTGCCTAAATACATACAATATATATATATATATATATATATATATATATATATATATATATAGTGAGTCTCAGATGTTTTGGCACAGAGACAAAAATGCATATTTTCCAGAAATAAAATTTTCGAGAAGATTTAATTGAATTGGAATATTAACAAATAACATCTTCAATATGATTGCCATCATTTGTGATGCAAAGGTTGATGCTCTTTGCAAGATTCACATGAACTCAATGCAATAATTCCACATTGCCGTCAATTTTAACACATCCACTCTTTATGTGTTCAATAAAGTATGTTGCATCTGTGATTTTCATTGAGTACACCTTCTCTTTTAGCAGACTCCAGAAAAAGAAGTCAATTCTTTCTTCTTTTGACAAAACCATGCTTAATCTGTGGATGTAAAAATATATATATATATATAGTTAACGAGATTTCCTATATGTCCAGACCTTTTTTGAAACACTCCCACATGGATGCTTCCCTGAATGCAAGAATCTTAACCTCTTCAAGTTTAGGGTCAATCATCATTATTCGTCCTGATAATTTTCACTTTGTACTTTCTCCTCTTCATATTATACACCTCACTCATTCAATAGCCCTCTACCTTGAGTGGCCCTTGAGCCCTGTATTGGATGAACATTAGTTAAAAAATAAAATGAAAAAAATATGGGACAGAGATTGTTGTCATTCTGTTGTCTATGCAAGAAGGCATCTTGTATCAGTTAATGTCATGTGAGGTCACATGTTTGCTTCTTCCAACTAAGCAAGAACATGTGACATTTTTTTACACTATCCAGCTCTGAGATTGAACTCGTAATCACTTAATTCACTGGATATATTAACACGTTTAACTACTCATGCGACTATTGTCGTATTGTGCTAGCCCCACTTTGGGACTGACACGAATAAGAACATTTTATCTTGTATGATAAAGATATTTATTTACATCTAAATATGAATCCAACAGTTAAAACAAACACTGTCTTTTCCTATATATAGAGAATATGTTATGCGGACTTTCCCATCTGGTGAGCAAACTAGGGCTAGGTGGCTTGTACCTTTAAAACCCTTGGCAACTGGTACCTTTGGCGTCGGAGAAAATTTCTTCTGTGTTTCTTCAGATCAGGTTCGGTCTCTTCTCTGGTGGTCAGCCTTTTCTGAACCTACCTGGTTTTATTAACCAATGAGAGATTGCCTAACATCAAGTGACCAATCTCTATATATAGGAGCAGACGAATTTTACAAACCCAACAGTCATATTGTGCCTTGAACCAGCACCTGGTTAGGTTTTAGATGTGGTTTCCAAGAGTAAATGCTGCCGCTAGAGGCAGAAAAAATGGCGTGATAAGAAAGTGGCCCTGTTACCGAAAAATATCACAGACTACACAAAAAAAAAATAAATAAATAAAAAATAGTTGAAGGAATTATTCTGGCTAATTCATATGCTTCAACGGTGAGACGGAATGGAAATAGAGAAAGTGAGCAATGTCAAATAGAGCTCCCAATTGTAGCTACTCCCCACGGGTGTTAAGTAACTAGCAAAACAACTTTCTTATTTCAATCTACAATAATTCCCAAAATAAATAAAACTTCATTTTTATGTATCTATTTACATACTCATTTCTTTGATATTAGCCAAAACCAATATTCATGCCAGAGTCTCAGAGCCTGGTCAAAAAATGGCGTGATAAGAAAGTGGCCATGTTACCGAAAAAATCACAAACTACAAAAAAAAAAAAAATGTCGAAGGAATTATTGTGGCTAATTCATATGCTTCAATGATGAGACAGGATGGAAATAGGGTGAGTGAGCAATGTCAAATAGGTCCCCCCTATTGTGGTTTATCTCCACAGGGGTGGTTGCTTAAGTAGCTGTCAAAACAACTGGAACTCCCCCCTCCTGTTACAAAAGCTCTCTTTACTCACAAATCCAGAACGTCATGTTGCGAGATCCTGTATAAAAAATTATATAATAAAAAAAAAACAAAAGAAAAAAAAACAACAACACATAAATATTATATAAAAATAATTAAAGGGTAAATAATAAACAAAATAGTCTAGGTTTGACTATCTTTTGAGGGAAATGTTTATAAAAACAATTATTTTGGGGAGGCGCAGTGGAGTAATGGATAGTGGCTTTGATTAAGGAATTTGGGGAGCTGAGTTCGAATTCCAGTCGCATCCATTACATTCATTTGGGAAAGGTATGAATTATCTTCTTCTCCCCCAGCTAGGGGTAAATA